ACACCTTCCCATTTTCCTTTTCTCTTATCACCTCATTATCACAGACTTATGTCTTCTACCTTCTTCATTCACTTATTTTCTCTATTTTCTCGTAGTAACTATTTAATAAAAGCATAGTACCATCATTTTATAAGGTAATTAAAATAGAAGAGCTAATTAAATATTTTTATAAAAATTCATTACTTTTTAAATATTTTAAAGAATAAATTTTTCTAAACTTGTTTTATTTTATCTGATAACTTATCAAAGAAGTCAACAAAAAAATCAAAAGAAAAAAAATTTCCATTTAATTTAATTCCAATTTGAAAAAATTTTTCCAATTCGACGAGGAAATTTTTCGATTTCATAAACAAAAAAAAATTTTCTCCATTACTTATCACTTTTCTTATAAAATAAAATTAAAAATCAAATGAATAAAAAATCTTTGCAAAAAAAGAAAAAAATAAATAAAAGGAGAATTTTAAACAACGAAAACAATGGAATTGATAATTGATAAGGAAAGATTTTTTTCTTTATCAATTGATAACAAATGTTTCATTGAAAATTATATACATTAAATTTCGTGCAATTTTTTACAAATAAAGAGAAAATGATTTTTATATATTTATATATTAATTTCTTGATGTTTTTTATTTTGTTTGTTTTTTGACTGAAACCAAACAGTGAATGAAATTTAGTAAAATTGGTGATTCAAAAAACTTTTATATAATTCGTTCATGAAATATAAAAAAACCATTATCATTGTCATCATTATCATCATCATTATCGATAGGCTATTGATTTATTTCCAATTCATTGCTATCATATGAGTGATCTTTCTGGAGTTGCTCATAGTTTTATAATGGTAGGATCGTACGTCATACTTGTAACATCGCCCATCTATCTTGCTAGAGGTTTTCCTCATTTCAGTTTTTACCTTTTCTGTTGCACATTCTTTATCATATCTTGAACGAACAAATAATTGGAGGATCGATATTAGATCGATAAGCGATTGATGATAAGACAAATAAAGTTAATGCACAATTGTTGTCAAAAAATCGCCTTTCCTTTGTGCATGCGTGCATACGCGTCTACACGTAAGTGGTGGAATGCTCGCCTGCCAGGCGCGAGGCCTGGGTTCGATTCCCGGCCAACGCATGTATAGAAAAAAGGATATACTCTTATACTACTTCATTGGGAGCTTGGCGATTGCCACTTCCAATATGTAACTTTACCAGATTCCTTCAGGGAATCAGCTCCACTGTGTTTTGAAGAAACTCATCTATACCCAACAAATTATTATATTTTGTAAAAACCCAATCTTCTTTACTCTTTACTTCATTTAAAGTCCCACCTACTCCATTTCGTTGGAAATTTCCTCTCGAGCACTTATAACCACATTTCTTTAAAGTTATCAACAGCATTTGAAGCTTTGCTGTATAGCTTTAATTTTTTAAGAAATTTTTGCCTTTAATAAAATTTTGATATATTATTATAGATCATTAAACACCATTCTGGTTGCTCGAAAATTTCCTTCTCTATCCTTCCTTAGAATAATATTATTTACGGGTTATGAATTTATTTGTTTTGTACGGTTAATTTCATCAATTCGCTAATCTTTGTTACTAAAAAGTTCAAACTTCAAAAATAGCTAAAGAATCTTTTTGCGATGCTCTATGATAACATTATTTATGCAAGTGGTATTTGAACAAAGATGGATGCGATCTTGTGATATTTTATCCGCTCGACAGATCCGTAAAATGTACCTTAGACAAAAGTGTTCAAAGGCATATCTTCTTGATATCCTCCCCTCTAATTGGCCATGTCTCAGAACCATAGAGTAAGATCGAAAGGATCACGGCAATATAGATGCGGACTTTTGTTTTTATAGTGATTTCACGACCGCTCCATAAAGGTTTCGTCATTCGGAAAAACGCATTTCTAGCTGCCGTGGTCCGAGTTGTAATATCACCCTTATACCCTTTACCCTTTACTCTTTTACCCATTAAACCCTTTTGCCTGTCCATTTGGTATTAGAATGGACCCAAGGTATTTGAAATCGGGCATTTTCTCAACCGGCAATGAATTTACATAAAGAGGTATTTTATCAACTTCTTGCACATAAGACGAAAAGGCTTTCGTTTTATTTACATTGATCCTGAGTCGCCGATTCTTGCTGCGATTTTTGACACGTCATTTAGTATTACTTGCATTTCGCTATAATTATCAGCAAAAAGGACTACATCATCAGCGTATTCAAGATCTGTGATACGATTCTCTGGACTAATTCGGACACCTCTTGAGTGCCGACAAGCAGTGTCCATTATCCAGTCTGTCGCATAGTTGAATATTGTGAGGGAAAGAACGTAACCCTGACGGTCACCTCTTCCTATTTCGAAGGAATCTGTCAGCTCCCCATATAAACAGACCTGCGCCGACGTGCGCTCATGAAATGCTGTTATGAGTCAAATGATTTTCTCTGGAACACCGTCATGTTCCATCATCCTCCAAAGCGTCGCTCTATCAATTGAATCAAAGGCAGCCGAAAAGTCGATAAAACACGTTATAGTGGGTTGCAAATATTTAAAGCGATGTTCCAACACCTTTTTTAACGTGAATATCTGGTCAGCACAACCGTGTCCTGGTCTGAAACCATCTTGATTAGGGCGCATCCTTTTGTCCCGTATTTCTATAAGTCTGTTGAGTAGCAAAGAAGCAAAAATTTTCACTGAAACGTCTAGTAGGTTCGATAATTGTCGCAGTATGTCCTGTCATCTTTCTTGAGAATTGGGAGCAGAATTGCTTTGCTCCAATCATCTGGTAATATTTTTTTTTCAAAGAGTACATTTGTTGAAGGTACGTTATGAAGGACGATGGATAGCATTTGAAAAGCTCAGCCCGAAGACCATCTTCTCCTGGACTTTTGTTGGCCTTAAGCTTATGGATAACTGAAATTATTTTTTTTTCTGTTGGAGGCTCGCAATTGCAAGCGTATGCTTCGACAAATGTATCAGCTATATCAGGGACAACAGATAGAGCTTCATAGTTAAATTTGGCCTCAAAGAATTTTTTCCATCTTATAAGGCGATCCTTAATACTTTTGATTAGTACGCCATTGGTATCTCTTACCATTTCACTGATCGTTCCCAGAGTCATAGTTACTTTATGAAGAAGGCAGAACAGTTTCCTATTATTGCCTAACCGAGCCGCCGCCTCTATTCTTGAGACCATGTCACTCCAATAGTGATTTCTATCCCGCCTTGTTGCTTTCGTTGCAAATCTTCGAAGCACCCGGTAGTCAGGATCATCTGACATTCGTACTTTGGCAGCTTTTTCAGACAACTGGACAGTTGCTTCGGAAACTACCCAACCTACTAGTATGCCCTAGCATGATAGTGGCTGATTTTCGGAGACATTTCTTTAGTTTGGACCAGTATTCATTTGCCGTTGCAGAAAAATCATTGATAATTGTATCATTGAGGTGCTTCAATAATTCGGTTTGAAATATTTTCATTAAATTTATTAAATTATTATTAAAATAATTTAATTTAAAATTAAACTCGCCAAATTTTAATTTATACGGTTTTAATTCATAATTTAAAGGTTTAATTATCCAAGTTTTAGATTGTTCACGTATCGTCGCTTACTGCAACTATTTTATACTAGAAAGCCAAAGCGATCCGAGTGGAAGATAGTCAATTCGGGTATGAAAATTAGTCATTTATCTGGCATCATAAATTTTACCTTTTCCTATGAGCATACTTATAACAAATTTATAAAAAATTAAACTATAACCAAAACTATATAAAAAACTATGACCAAAACCTATCTTCTCTCTCCCCCTTCCCCCTACCCCCCTCCCCCTACAGTTTCTCTCCGCACTTCGCCTACATATAAATTAACTAACTTTCTAATTTTTTGCCAATTTCCCCAAGCAATATTTCGTCCGAATTTTTCACAATGTTAAATTGCGGCTTCGCTTATTCAATTTAGTCATATGAAATTTTTCTGTAAATTTTTCACTTTAATTTTTATCTTCGTTTTCCTAAATTCGATGATTTTTAGAATTTTTTGATAAATTATATAATTTAGTAAATTTTATTAGATATAAATATTTGCATAGGTTTTCTCAAATTTTTCATTTTTTTACTTTTTATATGAATTTTGATAATTTTTTAAATTTTTTTGTTCTCAATTTTATTTCCATTTTTTTTCATAAAAATTTAGTTTTAATTTTTTATTTTTTTTGCTTTTTTTATTTTTTTTAAAATTTAAAATTTTAGCAAATTTATTATTAAATTTAAATTATTTAAAATTAATTTTTGCTATGAAAAAAAATTATTTCCGCTTTTTTCTTTTTCGCTTTTATAAATAAATTTTTATTTGTTTTTATTCATTCTTATTAATAATCGTTTATTTCTTAAGCAGCAATTCATTCACAATCATTGTGGAATCGTCTAAGCAAGAAGCTTTAAATTTTAATGAGAAAATGCCAAATATAAAGGTATTTTTTTTACATCTTTTTTCTATTTTTATTTTTATATTTTTTAATAAAAGCTCAAAATTAAGATTCTTTTATCTATAATATAAGTTATTTATAGCTTACCAAGTCTGTCAGCTTTTCGCTCATTTTCGCTATTTTTCGCTCTTTTTGTTTCATAACAAATAATGACTTTTAGCTAAGCGAATAGTGAACTATAATTCCTCACATAGTATCAGAATATCAGATTAAATTATTGTTGAATAATTTCTTAGAAATTACTGTAATAATAATATTCTGGAATAATTCAGCACTACATGCACTACAGTAAAGAATAACTTGTTTTATTTTTTTATATTTGTTTTATATTTTGATACTATAACAATAAAAAGTAATAAAAATGTTAACACAATAATAATATTAGACGACTTATATGAATAACCATCCACATAGAAAAGAGCAATGCACACGCTGAAAAATATGGAATGGCCCAGTGCTATAAATAAGCACGGTGACCTGAAGAAACCATAAGGAAATCACAATGGCAAATACTCCATATTAATTACAACTGAACTGTATTGAATATTAAAACTCGCTAAAAACTAAATCTATATAAATCTATAGATAAATCTTTTATAAATCTATAATATTTAAATTCTATATTTATAATTTTATATTTATAATATATAATTATTTATATATATATATAATTTTTAATATATAATTTAATTTAATATATAATTTTTTTGCAGGTTTTCTCAGGTTCTTCTCATTCTGATCTTACTCAACGCATTTGTGAACGTTTGCAGTTAGATGTATCGAAAGCATCTTTGAAAAAATTCAGTAATAGAGTATAATTTTTCTATTCTTTTTAAAGATATATCATTTTTCTTTTAAATTTTAGTATTATATATTTATAATATTTACATAATATTTTTAGTAGTGGTGTTTTAATTCGTGGAATTACATCAAATCATTTTTATATTTAAATACAATTTTATTATTTAAATACAGTGTTAATTTTCTTAAATTTTCTTATATTTGAATAGTAAATATAAAATAATAAAATGAGCATTTAATATTCATTCAATTGTTTTATTAAAATTAGGAAACAAATGTCGAAATCGGCGAAAGTGTTCGTGGCGAAGATGTTTATATTGTTCAAAGTGCGTGCGGTGAGATTAATGATCATATTATGGAGCTACTTATCATGATTAATGCATGTAAAATGGCTTCTTCTTCCCGTGTAACAGCTGTCATTCCCTGTTTTCCTTATGCGCGGCAAGATAAAAAGGTTTTTCAAATAAATTTAATTAAGCTTTTAAATTATATATAATTTTTTTTTCTATAGTAAATCCCATTGATTGTTCTTTAATATATTTAAGCATATTTTTCAGGACAAATCACGTGCACCAATCACCGCCAAGCTAGTAGCAAATATCTTATCAGTAGCTGGGGCTGATCACATAATTACCATGGATCTGCATGCTTCACAGATTCAAGTAATTTTTTTCCCTTAAATCATTTAAACTTAATTTGCATTATCTAGCCAAAGCATGCTCTTTAGGGTATGAAAGCTGATAAAGTTTTAGAAAATAACTGCATTATTTCAAGGGATTTTTCGATATTCCTGTAGATAATTTATATGCGGAACCTGCAATCTTGAAATATATCAAAGAATCGATCGCGAATTGGCAAAATGTAGTTATTGTTTCTCCAGATGCAGGAGGAGCAAAACGGTTTTTTTTTCTTCAAATCAGTGATTATTTAGCCAAAAGTATTAATTGCTTTATCACTCTCATGTTTTGATTTTGGTTTTTTTTGGTTTTTTTTGAATAAAAAATTCTTCAGAGTAACATCTATCGCCGATCGTTTAAATGTTGATTTTGCTTTGATTCATAAGGAAAGAAAACGTGCTAATGAAGTTGAAAAAATGACATTAGTTGGAAACGTTAAAGATAAGGTCCTTTTTAATTTTTTTTTTTTGAAGCATAATATATTTTTTATTGAATGCAAATGTATTAAAACGATGGCAAAAATTAGTTGTTTAAATTGTATTAATGACAGTCCTCAGATATATTTCGATTTAAATCCTGAATGAACGGTCCGGATCCCGGAATCGAATCCGAAGTTAATGTTAATACAATCTAAAAAGGCTTCCAAATATCCTCCCATAAAAATTTAAATGTGCGTATAAATTCAAAAAAATAGAAATTAAACAACGCGATGAAAAAATGGTATATCGTAGATGATTGGAAATGACAAATTTTAAACACCAAAAAACCAGGTCGATTAGTTTATGCCGAAAAAATTTAGAATAATAAAATACAAAGATTCACCTTCAAAAAATAAGAAATAAGAATAATTAGAAAAATCTATAAAATAAGAGAAAAATCCTCTATAACAAATGAAGTGGAAGTGAAGAAAAAAAACGAAAGCCATATCAGTTAGAAGTATAATTTTTCTAGAAAAGTTTCCAGCATTACTGTTGCTTCTAATTTATGAATTTTTTAATTTTATTTTTTTCGTTTTTCAATTTATTTACAATTTCTACATATTAAAGGTTGCATTACTTGTTGACGATATGGCAGATACATGTGGCACAATATGTTTGGCCGCTGAAAAGTTGGTTATTTTTTCATCAAATGTTTTTCAGCTTGGAATTTTTTTTGTTTAGAAAAGAAGTATAACTAAGAACATTACTTTTTATTAATATTAAATATATTAAGTGAAATTAATCAAGTTATATAAATAAAGATTATTAATTAATATTAATATTAAGTTTATTAACAATATTAATTAAAATTAATAAATTAAAAGTATGAATAAAATATAAAAAATATGAATAGGAATAAAACAGTTAACTGGAAAAAAATAAGATAACAATTATTATAATAAATGTTTATAAAGAAATATAAAAATAAATATTGTAATCATTAATCTAAGTTAGTCGAATGAAATGAGATGTTTCATAATCTCGTTTAATTTCTTCTTGAAACTTTAAAGCACCATTTCCTTAAATATTCTTTAACTAATTGATAATAAAAAATTATGATTCATGGAAATTTAAGTTTAAATAAATTCACCACCGGAGATTTTATTTTCATATAAAGTTATTTAAGATTAATAGAAGCTGGAGCGAGTGCGGTTTACGCTTTCTGCGTGCATGGTATTTTCTCTGGTCCAGCTATAGAACGTTTGAATAATTCAACTTTTGAAGCTGTTGTAGTTACGAATACCATACCTCAAGAAGAAAACATGAAGAAATGCTCTAAGATACAGGTATTTTTACAGATGTTTATAGGTACTTCTAGTAGCTTAACAAGAAGTATACGTTTGATATGTATTTGATATTTTAGTAGAGTTTCTCAATTAGTAAATTTCTTCTAGTGCATTGATGTTTCGATGATTCTTGCTGAAGCAATTAGGCGAACCCATAATGGCGAATCAGTTTCTTATCTTTTTTCTCATGTTCCTTTATAATTGTGCCATATTGTAATTTTGTTATAGGTCAGTTACATTGTTATATGTTATTATCATTTATAATTCGCTCGATGATCATTGTTAAGATATTTACGAGTATCATTTGTGTCATGTCAACTTTTTTTTCTCATATTCAACTCTAAATATACCATATGATTTATATTTATTATAAGTCATATCAACTTTGAAATTGCTTTTTCGATAATTTTGGTGATTATTCTTTCATTTTGTTCTTTTGTTCGTTAACTATTTTCATGGATATGATTATCTTTATCAGATTATCTAAATAAAGATTCGTGATTTTTCAATCGTTTTTTTCTTATGTTGAATAATTTTTAAATTTTCGTGATCTTCTAATATTTGATTTCTTTTCTTTTCTTAAAAAATTTTCAATTAAATGAAAAGAATTAAGAAAATTTAAAAAAAAAATTATTCAATTTATTTTACGATTTCAGGAGGAAAAATGTTAATTTTATTATTAAATTGCTTCATTGTTTATTGTTTAGCGCAAAATTTTGAAATTGGTGATAATGCGACAATTAAAGGATGTTCGTAAGTATCTTTTTGAAATCGATAATTTAAAAGCAATTTTCCGTCGAAATCACCGAAATGGGAGTTTTTTTGAAATTTTTAAAATTGCTAGGTTTTTTTTTTCAAAGAACAGCAAACGAATTGCAATTTATAAAAATCGCAGAAAATTTAGTGAAATGTCTAATTTTTCTCCGGCAGTAAACATCATTTTTATTGTATTTCAAGATTTTTATCGTTTCATTGTTTCATTAAAATAGACTATGGGGACAATATTATTATTAAATGGGAATATTATTGTATAGCTTCCGCAATGCGAATTCCGCTAGGATTTGCCCTACGGCCATTTTGAAACTTTTGTTTGCGGAATAACTCATCGAATTATATATTATACTTTTCGAATATCGGTGATTGCAATATGGTTCCCTATAATAATTTATTTTAGCGCATTTTTTTTTTAAAAATCAAATAATTTAGCTACATTTGATTTTCAGAAGTCATTGTTCAATGCACGATATCGACCTTTCTTGTTGGAATCAAACATTAAATTTTTATGAACAAATATTATTTTCTCAAATGAAATTTTATATTGCAGTTCAAATAAATATTGGTAATAATTTGCTAAATAAATTACTATTTTTCATTTAATTGAAATTTTTCAAATTCTTTCAAAAATGTTGAATAGATTTTTTCCTTTTTTCTATGTTTTAGATCGTTGGCATCGTAGGCGTTTTCCTAAATATGTATCGAATTTCTCTCAGATTAAACTTGACACTATTCATAATTTGAACTCTTTGGTCGCTAAAGGTGGTATTATCGACAATAATACTGTTTGTGCTTTTATTTATAATAATTTGGTTCTTATCGGGTTGAAATTTAATATATTATGTGCACTCACAGATTATAAACGTGGATTATGGTAGTAGAATCGATCATTTTTTAGGAAAATTTTTTTCCATATTTTATTAAATCTACTATATTTCTCTATGGAAGAGATGAAAAATCTATGGCATTGCATCAGAGATTTTATATCTTTTCTGAAAGTTGAAACGATTTGATTGAACAGATGGATCGTACTAGAAATAATTTTTGTTCGATTTTTTTGCACAAATTTGATAACATTTCTGCTAATCAAATTAAGTATAAAAATTTATCATCAAATTTAAGTAGCAGAGGGAAGAGTTATTTAATGTCTTGCATATTAGTTATAGAAAATGCGATTATTGGTAATAATTACCTATGTTTTATATTCAACCAATAATATAATATTTTCAGAATAAATTTTTTGGTTTTTTTTTTTAAACAGATTTTTATCTACGATTTGCAAGAGTAAATCTGTACAAAAATCCCAGGTAAGGCTGGCGACTCATCTGTATTTCTAGTGCCAAGGGACTCTCATTGTCCAGTTCGAGAAGTCAGTGGAGCGAGTTTAACCAGTAATGGTGAAGATTCTCTCTCTTCGATTTGAACTTTTTTATGACATATATATTGGTTTGCTAATTTTTTTTATAGATTGTTACCGTGGTAAATGCATTGGTTGACCAAGTACAAAAAAATAGTCGCACCGTCGAGAGTCATAAAACTCACATCGCTTGCCCATTGCCCTGCGAATATAAATCAAAGTTATGGCGATATCTTTTTATCGCTTCATGTGCGCTTAATATTTTATTGGTGATCGTTATTATACCATATATAAAATCTATTATCGACTCGGATTCTGGGAGACATCTTCTTGATTAATTCATTTTGTATATGGATTTTTCTCAGAGCAGTGCTTGTTTATTAGCAAAGGTTGAAAAGGAAATTTAGAATCAATTTTTAGAATTAATTTATTTCTTTTCTATTATTTGCTACCATCATTTCTGCCTTATATAAGAGGTTGTTTCTTTCTTTTTATTCTTAAGTAAATAATTAAGGCAATATTAGGACTTCAAATTACCAGTGTGAGATGGGTGACGGCTCTTATTTGTCATTTTGTTTGTATTATTGCAAATGTTCTTTATGGTAATTCACGTGGCTTTATTGAACTACGAGATTCTTGAGCTTCTCGATGTCCTGTTAGTCTTCAGCTCTTTCTTTCTTATATTTATACGTTTTTGGTACTTTTTACATTTTTTTAATCACTTTCTCATTTTCTTTTTATAATATAATATTATATTTACATTAATTATATTTATATATTATTTATTTATATCGATATTTAAAAAAAATCGCTTTCTCTATCCTTGTCATCTTCAATGTCGGGTCCTCTGTTAGAAGCCTGGGAGATTGAGGATTCTGCGCAGCGCAATATTTTAGCTGTTTCTAGTAGTGCGCTATTCTGGAATAAAGGTCTCTGATGTTGTTCCTGGAATCTGCTGAAACCATTTTTCTAGTTTAGAAGTCACAATTCCAATCGCTTCATTTAGCACTTTCCACATCTTCTTTAGTTCTTCTTTCAAGCTGTGATATTTCTCTACTTTTCATATTCATTCTTCCTAACGTTCCTATTCACGTGGTATTGCTATATTTATCATCGGTATATATATATATATTTTTAAATTTATATATTTAAAAAAAAACGTTCCTATTCACGTGGTATTGCTATATCTATCATCGGTATATATATATTTTTAAATATATATATTTTTTAAAAAAAAAAAACGTTCCTATTCACGTGGTATTGCTATACCTATCACCGGTACATATATATATATATATTTTATTTATTGATATATATATATATATATATTTAATGTAATATTTTTTTTACCCTTTTTTTATCAGAACTTTAGTTGTGACAGACAGTCGTGTCGCTTTCTTGTGCTTTTGATCAGTTTTACCTGTGATATTTGTTTTCTCATTGATTGAAATATGCAATTTTTATAAATTTCAAAACGTTTATCATGAACACTGTGAATATAATGATATAATGAATTAAGAATTCAAGCTTTAAATTTTTCTTATTAGTTGTTTATTATGAAAAAGACAAAAATTAAAAATTTATAGAAATTTGTCTTGTTAATTTTTTTCGGGTAACTTTAATAAGTTAATCGACCGAGTAATTTTCGCATTATCAATTTCCAGTATATTGCTTTTACAAATAGCTTTTTTATCACCATTTATCACCTTTTTTATCACCAATTTTTTATCATTATTCTAACGTTCTGCCTTAATTTTTTGTCTGTCTTTCAAATAGATATTTTCTCTTGTTTACCTCTCGAAATTTAATGTTCTTGACACGTTTTCACGTATTTAACACGTTCATACGTTTCATTATTTAATAAATAAAAAGGGTTGTTTATTATTATTTTTAATTTGTTACTATTCTTTTTAAGTATATTTATCTAATTTTTTAATTGTTTGAAATAAAAGGGTGAAAATTTTTTTCGTTTTATTTATCCTATTACGGAATGGTTCTTAATGATGCTCAGCATTTGTTTTGATTTTGATTTTTGTTGTAAAATATTTTATCCAAATTTCAGATTCATCAAAATTTTTAGTTATTTAAGTAAATTTGGCAATAGATTTGGCTTATCGTCGATTTATGCAAATATTACAATTTTTTTATTATTAGCCTTATTTATTGCTTGCTGTATATATGTAAATTAAAATTAAAAATTAAGGAATAGAATGGTTCAGTGGATTGTTGGTGTCATTTATGAGCGCCAATGCTTCAGTTCTACTTTCGGCAGAAATACGAGGTGAATGCTGGGCGACATTTTACCAATAGTTCCATCGCTAATTGGTCTCGTGGCCAAATTAATGTGTTCCAATAAACTAGCGGAATTGATAAGATTTTAAGGTCTATTTCTGCTTTTAGCACTTGGTACCACAGTTTTGCGTATATTTACACGTACGAAAAAATAAGCCTGAGCCTAAGCCTTAAGGGTAATCCCTAGAGGCAAGCAACTGAGTTCACAATGAATTTCAGTTGTATTAAAAATGAAAATCTTCATGCTTGTATTTAGCCGAATTGATTTAATTTTTTATTGCATTTTATAATATTATGGTCCTCATATGATGAATTAAAATTTATAAATTGGTACAATAATTTATTTTTAGAACGGCTTAATGAATGGCGTCAAAATCAAAACGAAGAACAAAGAATAAGACTTGGACTGATACAATCGGCGAAGGTTTTTGAACGTATACATGGAATTCGTCGAAGAGCACCATACCATTAAACCCCATTTATTTCTTATCACCATTATTATCGTTATCATTGTTGTTAAAATTTTTAAATTATTGTGGAATTCATCAAAAATAATTTTTAATGGAATTTAATTAACATTCGTTAAATGAAAACATTAAAAATTATTTTGAAAAATAAATTGAAATGTTTTTTTAATAAATGAATAAATGGTATGTTTTATAGGGGAAATTTTCAACCGATAAATTGACAACAATTTCAACAATTTAATTTTTTAAAACAGTTTAATATTATCAATGAGTAAAGAAATTATCAAACCGGAATTTCTATTGAAATAAAAAAAAAAAATTTATGAAAATTTGAGGCAATTAATTTAATTTCTTTTTTCAAAAAAAAAGATTCTGAAAAAAGAAATTGAAAAATTCCAAAAAAAAATTGAGAAATTACTAATATTAAAATATTTAAAAAAATTGTCTAAATTTGATCTATTTTTACGTTTTATAAAAAGCAATAAATAAATTGCACAAAAAGAATAAAAAAGAAAAATAAAAATTAAATAATAAATAAGATTTTTAGCTATTTTTGAAACGTTAATTTAAATAAACGATAGATTTATTTGGCTTATAGATTTGTCGATTTAAGCAAATATTACGATCCTTTATTATTGGCCTTATTTGTTGTTTGCCTAAAAAGATTATCTAAATTTTACACTTATTACACTTATTATCATAAAATAAGAAACACTTATTATCATAAAAATATTATCATAATAAAAGAATGATAAAGCATTAAGGCATAAAATAAGAACTTTATTTTACTAAATTTTCTTTTTTAAATGAAATTTTTCAAATATTTTTCTAAAAAAGATTTCCAATAATTTAGCGATCACCATAAATGCTCCGCTCAATTTGAAATTTAAAAATTCCAAATGTAAATTTTTCAAAATTTTTCATAATTTCATCTAATTTTCTTATAAATTTCAAAAAAAAAAATATTTTTTTTATTTCAACAAAAAAAAACTTACTTGATTTCATTTTCCTTAAATTCGCTATTCTTGCACTAATTTTTTATATTAATTTTTTATATTCTTTTCTGGTGCTTTTTTCACCATTTTTACCAATAATATTGATATTTGTATTGATTTTAATTTTCGATTGTTGAATATTCGATTTTTGATTATCAAATTGAGTATCATCAAAGAAATCGTCTTCTTCGCTATCATCGATAGAAAATGCAAGTTGCTGTAGCGAAAGATTATTTCCGTTCTTATCATTAACATTTAACAACGAATAATCATTACTATCTAATTGACTATGAACAATTTCTCCTTTTTCATTTCGATATAATTTTGAAATGGATTTTAGATTTTCAATATTCATTTCGATTGGCATTAAATGATGATCGCTTTTAACGAATTCACCTGCTTCATTTTTCACTTTTAAAATACTAAAATTATTGGACGAAATTGGTGAATGAACGATGAAGCCGTATTCATTCGTATTTCGAAATTTCGTTACTGTTGTTTCATTTTTTAAAATATTCGAATTATTTGGTGAATGGTGAATAATATTTAGGCGTTTTTCACCATTTTTCATAGTTTCATTAATCGTCGAATTTTTATCAATATTTGTGATATTTCTATTAGTTAATTCATAATTCATAATTTGATTTAAATCAAATATATTTTTTATTTCATCCAATTTGGTCAATTTTTTTGGTGATTTAGTCACCGAATCGGTTGCGTTCATTCGATTATTTTGTGGTTCTATGATAGCGTCGTGGATCGTATGTTTATTATTATCGAAATTTTCACTATAGTAGTGTTTTGTTTCATTACGAATTTCCGCTGACTGATTAAAAGTGATTTTATCGAATAAATGGCTAATATTATTATTATTATCATTATTAGTTTTATTATTTTTTACTCCTTCCTTAGTTAATTTTTTAACGGATTTTTGATGCAAATTGACCGATGATAATGGTATTTTTGTTGAATTGGAATGCTGAATTTGTTTTTTTGTTGTTTGTTTTTTAGGAAATTCATTTTCGATTTTCATAGGAATAATTTTAAAATCGTCTGAATTTGTTACAATTGTATGAATTAAAACACCATTTTCATTGGTGAGTCGCTCTTCATAAATTGCTCCACGAATTTGTTCATGATTGTTAATTTTATTTATTGTGGTACTGATTCCTTCGTTTCCTGAAATATTGTGCGGGGAGAAATCTCGTGCTAGGCTTTTTTCATGATTATTCTTATTTGTTGTGGTACTGATTCCATCGTTTCCTGAAATATTGCGCGGGGAGGAATCTCGTGCTAGGCTTTTTTCATGATTATTCTTATTTGTTGTGGTACTGATTTTTTCATTTTCTAAGATAATTTTACCAGTTTTTGCACTGCTTTCTTCGCTTCTTGAACTATCGTGCGGAGAATTTGGTACTACGTTTGTCGTTGTTGGATTGTTATTTGTATTATCGTTCGTAAAATGATCGCCGGGAAGGAATATTGTCGTGAACGAGGTCGACGATACTTCATCAATTGATTGATAAGTCTTCGTTGTTAATCTCTTATCATTAGTTCCATTAATATTGATAATATCATTTTTTTCGAAATTTTCGTTTTCCTCAACGACTTTAATCTTTTCTTCGTTAGCTGATTTTAAATCTTTTACTGCTTTTTTAAATGTTTCAATTAATCTTTCAAAAATATTCATCTCTGGTTGCCTTTGTTTAGTAAATTTATCGTTTTCATGCTCATTTATAAAAGAAGTATTTGGTTGATCATCAGCATATGCATGAACTTCTTTCTCTTTTTCTTTTAAAGGCATACTGGCTTTTAGTATTGCAACTATCAAATTTTCCGGAAATTTCCCTAAACAAATTGAATAAGTTAGTTATATTAACACCGTAAGTTATTGATATTTCTATACGAATGATTGATTATTTAACAGTTAAATAATCTTATCTGACAATTATCTGATAAAACTATTATGATATCCTAGTTTCTCATTAATTACGCTATATCCTCTTATCCTAGTAATTTCAGATTATTTGCCGAGGGATCCACTTGCACCTTTGTAAAATCTTCAAATGGCTCTCTAGTCGATTTCACCAAAATGTTAGGTGAAGAAACCTAAGAATTTTCGGAAATTTCCTGAATATAAATAAGAAAAAGCCTTGGAATTTTTAATTTTTGAAATTTTTCTATCTATGTGGTATATAAAAAAGTTTGGTACCATGATCATTCCACTGTATAGAGCAGGGGATTTTGTTATTTGTTATTCTTGGTGAGTAGAAATTTAACTTTCTGCGTTTTTTCTCAAATAATCTTTTCCATTAAAAGTAAAATACTTCCAACTGTCACTATTATTTCAGTATAAACATTAAATTGACCTGTTTGACGTGTCCTTCTTATATGATTGAGAGCGAATTCGTCAGAATTTGTTGGCATATTGGAATAAGATTTTTCATCTTTAGTTGCCGATTTTCTTTTTGGTACGACAGTAAATTTTTCGATCTTTTGCTTGGAATTTATGCTCAATTCTCGATTTTTCTTCTCTAATGCTAATTGCATTGGTGCAAATTTGATTGGAACGGTACGACCATTCTGTAATATGTATTATATTATAAAATCACCACCGGTTGAACTCGTATAGTTGTTTATAAACTTCATAATTTGATAATATTTGATAATATTTAACTTATCACTATCCATTCATTGGTATGAAAATTAATATTTAAATATTATTAAATATTATTTATTAATATAGTTATTTTGAAGATAGCAAATATGATAATATCAGCTTGAACTTCAGCTAAAATTCCAGCTTTTTCCATGATGACATTGACCCGAACTTCAGCTGAAGTTCTAGCTTTCTTTTCAAAATTAATAAAACTGCAAATCAGTAATTTTGAAAATTATTTTGCTTTATTTATGATATCAACTAGCGACACCTTATTAACAACAGAGTCGAAAAAAAGGCTCTTGTCAAATAAATTTCATCAAGAAAGTCGTCCTTATTTAATTTATCAAATAACTAAAAATTACTGTAATAATAATGGACTAGAAAGACTCCATAAAAAAATACTCATAATAAAAAATCCAGTCTGATTTCAAGTTATTTATAAAACATTCAAAAATGGTTGAACAGTAGAATGGCTAAGGGGAGGATGATCTTTATCTCTGATGGTCTTTTTGACAGGAGTAAACCTATTATCAAAAGTAAAATATGGTGGATTGCTGATGATCCACTCTTTCTCTAAATGTCTGTAGATCCAATAAAGCTAGAAATAGTGTGTGGTACTAGAAGATAGGATATAATAAATATATCACATGTAATCGATTCATTTTTCGAGTTAATTACTTTCATTTCACTGATTTAATTGATAGTACATTAAAAAACTGATCATCGAATCAAATAAATTATCACTAATTTATTTAGAGTAAAGTATCGAAATATTTTCGAGTAGTTCAAGCCCACTGATCTAAAAAAAAACCCATAAATGTTGAAATTTTTGATGCATCAAGAAAATCCAAAAAAGCCTTAGAGGCTTTTTTAGATCAGTGAGGCAAGAAATTCTTAATTCTAAAATTCTAAAAATTTTTTTTGAAAATTCATTTCTTTGCTAGTTTTATATGAATAGGAAAATTTTTGCAAAGACTGGCTTTTGACAGTGAAAACTGTTTAATTAGATATTCTGTATGAAATTTATAGAAATTTTTCTATGTATTAATATGGAGTAGTTGTTGGTACTTTATCATTATAAGGCCATCCTGTATTCTTCATAGTTTCTTAAGGCTACATTTATTTATAGCAATGGGTCTTTCCTATGCAAACGATTATTTATTATAGTCGTTCTGGCTAATAAAAATCTTTAAAATTTACGATAGTGACTGGAATCTAATTCAGTCAAATCCAAAAATAGTTCCAATAGTTTTTTAAAAAATACGATGATCTGCATTATTATGGTACTTATAAAAAAAAAATTATTGAAATTTTATCAACCTTCAAAATTGTTGTACCAAATTTTAAGGCGAAAATTCTCGCCATTTGACGTCCTTTTATCGTTTCAAAAATATTAAGTCGTTGATTTGCGTCACCATCGGCATCTTCAAAAATTTTCTCAATTTGCTTAGCGTAAATTCCATATTCGATAGGTGAAGTTTGAATAAATTCCGCTAAATTTAATTCTCCATCACCATCTTTATCGTTATCCTGTTATGAAATAAATTTAGTCGATAATTGATAAATTGAAATGATAAATTCAACTATTTATTATCTATTAAATTTAATAAGTATATATACTTCGTAAGAACTACTAATTAACTAATGAATATTCAATAATTCATAAAAAGTAAAGAGCCATTAGGTTAAAGCAGGTGATCACCAGTACTACCCTAGGCTTTACTTTTAATGCACCAAGAAAATCCAAGAAAACATTATTTTCGATCAGTGAAGCAAAAAAATTCTAATGAGATCATTAGGGGGTCAAGGAAGAGCTAACTGATATGATAAGCATATTAAAAGATAAAATTATGATAAAATAATAAATAGAAGAATTTTTAGAAATTTAAATTAAATTTAAATTTAAATTAAATAAAAACAAAATTATAAAAATTTAATAAAAATTATATTACTAAAATTATCGAATAAATTATTTGGTAATTATTATTTGATGGTAAATAACCTATTGGACAAATTTAAAAAATCAAATAAAAATTAAATGTTTTCTTAAAGAAATTTTTTATAATAAATAATAATTAGGATAATTTTTAAAAAATTAGATTTCAATAATAATAAAAAATAAATTTTATTCTAAAAGAAATTTTACTTTAAGCCATTGATTAGCTGATTGATGAGCAATTTTAGCCAATAATTTATTAGCTTTGCTTATTTCTTTCTTATTAAGAATTCCATCTAAATTCAAATCGACTGCCTTAATAACATTCTAAAATGAAAAAAAAAAGAAATAATTATTATCTAAATAATTAAATAATTAAAAAATTCAATGCTATTTAAATAATATTTAAAAATAAATAAAAAATAAGCAAATTAATTCAATTAAAAAAAAAAACTTTATCAATAATTCTATGCAAAATTTTTTTTTGAAGAATTTCGAATAAAAAATTTTTGAAAATTTGAATTTATGCGAAATGATAATGATTTATTAGTGATAAGAAGCATTAATGATTAGATTAGACAATCAATTAATTTTATCAATATTTATAAAATATTCGTTCTGGAATACTGGAATACAAAACAGATATTATCCTAGATATTTCCTAGGCAATCCTTGATATGATAAATCAATTAAGCTATATATCAAAAAATATACCATTAAAGCTATTAAAACTCTATTGTGCATCTATTAATTATAAATGCACCATCTAATAAATTTAGGACCAGAGGAACCAAACGAGATTCTTTCTCTCTTATTTTAACAAAATCAAATTTACTAGCTATATTTAAATTATATTATCTAAATCATCATAACCACAATCTTTTACTAAAATAAATACGACTCCTTGTATTTCTCCGCGTTTTTGGTTTCTTCACCAATTAATCTCAATGTATTATTATATTGTTAATTTCACCAAATTAATTCTTAGTTTTTTTTTTTATTTTAAATAATTTTATTTTTTTTATTTTTTTGTCATTTCTAAAACGTCAAAACAAAACGTTTTTGTTTTGCCTTTTTTAAATAAATAAAGAAACAAAATTTTAATAATAAATTTAAATAAATAAAATTAAAAAAAATTAGGCGAATTTTATTTTAAATAAAAGAAATACATCACAAATATTGGATGTTATTCCATAAACGATGTATGCAACGGCGTATAATTCGTGTTTGTCAACTTCTCGATCACCGTTTAAATCAAAATGTTTCAAAAGTTCCACATCTTGAAATGAATTTTATATAGGGCAATCACTCTTTTTATAAATTAATTGCTAAATAAAAAATCAACTATTAATATTATTATTACTACTATTGTATTATTATAATTATAATTATTATAATTATTATTACCACTATTAATATTATTATTACTATTGTTATTATTACTATTATTAATATTATTATTATTACCATTATTAATGTTGTTAATATTGTTTTCAATTATTGGTGCTATTTTTAAATTACTAAAAAATTTACTAAAAAAAATGTTTAAATTATAATTTAATCGAGTAATAATTGAAGCAAAATTATATAAAAAATAATTATAATTATAATATAAGAATAAATAAATAAATTTATTTATTTTAAAAAATGAAAAAAAATTTTAGCAATAAAAATAAAAAAAACCTTTATTATTTGCGAATAAATTTGTAGGAAAAAAATAAAAAATTGCAAATATTAATAAAAATCGTCGTCGCATTCCTTAAATAATAATAAATAAATAAAAAATATATTATATAAATTAAAAAAAAAAAAAAATTTTGGTGAATCGTTGAGTTACCAATAAATGAAATAAATGAATATCGAATAAGCTGCGTTAAGTATGTTGTTCACTGTTTTACGATGTTGGTGATTATTTTGATTAAATATTGGTTTTTAAAAAAAGCTATGGTTTTTTTTTTTTTTTTTTAAATAATAAACGAAAAATTCTTAGATGACCCACTAGTATAATAACCCATATAAACATTTATGTGATTTAGAGTGATTTCCTATAAATTGTCGAAGATAATCTTTTTTTTTCGACCATAGATAGTCAATATATTTGGTATAGTTGATTTCGCGAATAGTTTCGAAATGTCAAAATCGACAGACAAATAAGTTGGTGAAATTCGAGCGAAAACTACTCTCGACAAGACATCGCTAGAATTTCGAGCGAATTGCGATTGTTCAATAGTGTCGAGCATTATCGATGTTAGATAAAATTAAATAAAATTTATGATTTAGCCTAATAATTGAATATTTCTATAGTAAAATTTTATTTTTAATATTTTTAAATAGAAAGTGGAATATTTTAATTTTTTTAGAAATTTAAAATTAAAATCAAAAACAATATTTCCCAGTGATAATTGGAACAACTCGTAAAGTAGAAAATGGAATGGCTTCAAGGACAATATCAGAGATCCTTTATCCAAAAGAACGCATTATTAGGAACAGCTAAGAAGAGCTGATAAGAGCTTTTAATCTCAGAGACCTCTGAGATCCGAGATTGATAACGAGCATGCACGTGAGCGTGAGAGAGGGTGTTATTTTTTTAATTCGGATTTCATCCTAAGAATTGTAAAATTATTAGATGAAATTATGAATTTCGATTCCGTAGATTCGTAAATATTCGTAAATATTCCAATTCGAAGGGAAGTTCAATGGGTTGTTGCTCTCATTTCGAAACGCTAATGCTGAAATTCTCCTTTCAGAATGTCTTTGAAAAATTCATGTGGTGCTGGTTAACACTTTTAAAGTACTTCTCACTACAAAGTACTTCTCTCGTCTGATAATTCGTTCTGAGCCTAAGCCTAAGCTGAAGCTAGCGAAATGAGCATAAAATGAAATGATGATAAGAAAAATGATTAATTTTTCATAAATCTTTCTATAAATCATCTCATAAATCTTTTTTCGAATTTTTTTATTCGAAAAAATGGAATTTCATTAAATAAATAAAAATAAAAAAGGAATAATCTGAAAATTTTTTACCTATAAATAATGAAAACTAAGGCAAGAAAGAATATGTATTTAACTGAATTTAAAATAGGACGACTGATAAGAAAGAAATTATTGGAAAATAGGCGCCACGTTCATCTCGCTATTTTTTAGGTCATTATCATTTATATCACGTAATAGAATCACCGAAATAACACTAAATTCTTATAAATAAATGTTAATTAAAATTAAAATCCAATTTTATAATCATCACAATTCTATAAATCTGTAATGATTATTGATAAAAATTGTGATATAACTGTTTCATTTGATAAAAATTAAAAAATGAATTGAAATTTCATAATTTTAGCTAGAATAAATAAAATTTATGAAAAATTTTTATATTTATTATCTTTATTATCTTTATTATATTTATTATATTTATTATCAATATCTAATATTATTTTAATATTTTTTATTTCGAAGTACCAATATAATTATTTTATTTTATATTTTACAGATGCAAATATCTAATGCATTTATTTTTTGAAATATTATTTTGAATAAAATAATTATAATAATAAAAATATTAATTGCCTGTCCTATATATTATCATTCAAATATCTGCAATATCGCTAAATTCCCTTGCGTAACCACTTTTTGCAATCCCAAAGCCTAAAATACTTTTTTTTGTAATATTATGCTAGTAAAAACTATAGTAAATTTTTTCTAAGAGTAGCACGTAACCTCAAAGATTCCATGATTCCATCTAAATTATCGTGGTTGAATGGCTTAGTGACAAGATGATTGCAAATAGAATGGCTCAAGTACCATCGAATAACAATAGGTGATAAAATTGATTGTTGGACAGGTTTGATCGTCAAGTTCTACGCTTCGCCTCGAAAGGAGTAAATATGTCCAAAAATGCCAGTTATACTAGCGATTTACCTATATTTCTATCGTCAAATGAAAAATTTTATGATAATTTTTATGATAATTTTTAAATTTTAATTAGTAAAAATTTTTTTTACTAAGACTCGGCTATGAAAATCGAAATTATCAATTTATCAATTAAAGGTGCTCTGCTATCAATTATTAAATGAAAATTCAAAGTGTTGCTTATCAATAAAAATTGTTGGAGAATCGGAAGATTTTGAAAAATGTTAAATTGTTAAAAATTGTTAATAAAAAACATTAAAAATGTTAATAAAAAACAAGCAAATTTTCATCAAACTCACCTAAAAAATTTTAGAAAATAGCAAAGGGTAATATTCGACGGTGATTAAAGATATTGAAACTACATAAATGCGGTTTGATGGAGAAGGAAAGAAAAAATTAGGGGAGAAGAATGGAGACCTGGCAAGTTCTAAAAGTTCCAGAGAACTGTTGAGGGAATACAACGAGTTGTGAGAGAATATCTAAAATTACTGAGTGTATCGAGTCCGCTTTTACATGTTTACAGGTCTTCTTTTTTCTTCATTGTGTTTGGTACTTTCTTTTATCAACGATATTTAGACAAAAACGCTTTATTTCGGATGAAATACAAATAAAATCGAATGAAAACTTTTGAAGAAATAATGAAGAAGTTCTCCAACTCGCTCTGAAAAAGTCTGAAGTACCAGTTGAACATAATGGTACTATATAAATGGCATATTGAAATAAAAGAACTAAAAAAATATAACTGCGTAGTACTGATAATAACAAAAATTGCACTATAGGAATAACCATAAAGATATAATACAACCGGAAAATGAACTGAAATAGTACCATAGTAGAAGGCTGAAGCAGGACGCTAGAGTGTTAAATAGTTCACATTTCATAATAGTCCCGAGAATTCCACATATAAGTAGGATATGTCAATAGCGACATCATGAGATACTCGAAAAAGACGCTAAAATATAGCCGTTGGTACCACAGCTTTGAATGAAGAAACTGAAATATCAACACTAACACCATGGAACAAAATATTCCATTTAATGATGGGTCAAATGAGATTGTTACCTTGACCGAGTGATAACCAAGTAATAGATTCGATTCTTGCGAAAGTCACTAAAATGAACTGAAATAGTACCATAATAGAAATAGTACCATTTAAAGTGAAATTAGGATGGTACCAAGAAAGCAACTATACAATTCCATTTCTGTTCCTAAGTAACTCTCTCAGGAAAGGATCACCTAATAGTCAGAAAGATGAACAGTTCGCAATATTTGCAGGGAAAGTATCAACCACGGACGCAAGCATTTCACCGAGGACACCATAAAAAACCTTTCCCTTCACCACTTTTATCACCTCATCTTCATACAACAATCATATATAAAATAATCCGCGGCTGCATATTATAGCTTGATTTTTTTTTCAGAGAATCATGCATTTTGTTTTCGCACCATGAAAGCTTTTAGTTTAACTATTTTTTTTATATGTAACAAAAATGGTAGTGATAATAGTGATGATAATAATACGGTAATAATGATAGCAGTGATTACGATAACAATGATAACAATAATAGAATCAGTAATAATTTTTATTAGTAATGTTTAATGATAACAGTAATGTTTATATTGTAAATAATGATAACAATAATATTTTTTAAATTGTAATTAGTTGATAATAACGTAAGTGATGATTAATTATAAATGGTAAGTATTAACAATAAATAATATTAAATAATAGTAATAATGATAATAAATAATAATAATAATTAATACTAACTAATAATAGCGAATAATAATAATGGTTATGATAGTGGTAATTAGTAATAATAATAATTAAATATAATATAATTAATAATAATAATAAATATAATATAATTAATAATAATTAAACAATAGCAAAGTATGATTAATAATTGTTAATAATAATAATTAATAATAATAATGTTAATAATGATAATAAATAATAATAGTAATAATGATAATAATAATGATAACAGTAATGTAATTAAGTATTAATGTAATATAATAAATAATAATAAATAATGATAAAGTAATAAGAACAATTATTATGATATTTATAATCTAATAGTGTAATTTATAATTTATAATTATTATTTTGTAACAAATTTGCATTTCCTTGTTTCATTTGATTTTAATTTAATATTATTTAATTTTTATTATTATTATTTTTAAAGAAATCATTAAATCATTTTGCATTATCACCACTATCATCATGTGATAATATATATTTTTTATTAATTTTTACTATTTGATTCAAGCATTCGATCATTTATTTCTCTTTTCTATCGTTTTTTTGTTTTATTTCTTAAAAAAAAAATTTATTAAAATTTAATTAATATTAAATTTTATTAAATTATTAATAAAATTTTCTTTTTGTCGTATTTTGTCATAATTTTTGTCATAAATAGTTATTAATAAAATTTTCTTTTTGTCGTATTTTGTCATAAATTTTCTTTTTGTTTTATTTTATCGTAATTTTTCTTTTATAAAAAAATTAATTTTAATAATAATTATTATAGAAAATAATTTTATTCGAGTGATGTCAGTCGCTAATCGAGAAATTTTTACAATTATAACTGGTATATTTTTTCATTAAAAATTCAATTTATTTAAAATAATTTAAAATTTATATAATTTATAATTTAAAAAATAATTTATAAAAATATAATAATTATTGGAGAATTAAATTAATGACGAAATGACGTGAAGAATTGCTCTTAGCCGAGATCATGTAAGGTTATTGCAATTGAATTGTTTTTAGCCCAGGAAAAAAAAAAAAGAAACTTAAACCAACGTAGAGCAGCTGATGTAGTGAAATATTCAACGAGGAATTCTCGAAAACGTCATGGATAGAATGGCTGAGTGGGTTGTTGCTCAATTGAGAACGCCGATGCTGAGGTTCGATTCCCTGCAGGAGTAAACATGCACAAAAATTCGGGTGATGCTGGCGACTCACTTGTACTTCTATTACTAAGAGACTCCCTGGCATATTTGTCCAATGCGACAAGCCAAGTGGAGCGAGTTTAATCAGTAATAGTGAGGACTCTTTTAAAAAAAAGATGTTATAATGCATTCTACTCGAATAAAATTAAATGAATGATAAATCGTTATCATTATTTAACAAATTATCAGCATTGTAGCCTTTTAACAGTATTTCTGGTTTGGCCATTGACTTGTAAAAATGTTCTTCTTTCGCTAGAGAAGAATTAATTAGCGTTATCAGTGCACTTGTGTAATATGTTCTATATTTCGTTTTCAATAATCAACAGATTTACTGATAACAGATAATGGATTTGAACTGAAACTTTGATGAATTAATTAGTCGAAGCCAAGCCACATAAAATTTGAACGGCTCATCTACATTTGATAATTTTGTGATTGGTGAAATAAATTGATTTTTTGCGAAATTATTTCCAAATATCAAATATTATTTTAGAAATTTATAATTTTAAAAAATCTTAATAAATGAAAATCTTAGAAAAATTGCCAAAATTCCATTCAGCTTTATTCAATAAATAAAATTACAGGAGCAAGCCGAGGAATTGGCCGAGAAATTGCCTTACAACTTTCTAAGATGGTTGCGAAGAATTCAGCTTTTATTATTACTGCTAGAAATTCGAAATTTTTAGAAGAAGTGAAAAAAATCATGCAAAAGTAATAAATTTTATTTCATTTTTTACTAAGTCCGTTTCGCTGTCGCCCTACGTTGAACGAATATTCCAAATAGTGCATTGATTGTCGATTGTGGTAGATGGTACAGGTTTATTCCTGTGGGGATTCTAATCTCAACATCGGCGCTCCAAATATATATATATTTTTATATTAAATATATATATATATGTAATGTTCGACTATGGTCTATTACGATTCATATCGCGTTTAGTCTCGATTCCTTGCCTGTTATTAAAAATTCGAATAATTTTAGCAAATTTCTAATTAACCAAAGACTAATTTAGCCAAAAGTGGTTAGTGATAACCATCTGCTTTTTATTTCTTAAAATTACTTATTTCCTTTTATTTCGTTAATTTTCAATATTTTGGATTTTAATTTAATTAATATTTCAGAAACAATGATATTTATGTGCACATAATAGAAGGAGATATGATCAACCTTAATGATGCATTTTTTGATAAATTTGAAAAAGCTATGAACGAGATTCTTTGTTATTTTTATTTTTTTTATAATTTATGATTTTTATAATTTTATTTTTATAATTTTATTTTTATAATTTTTATAACTTCAAAATATTTTAAACTTAAAACTTTAAAATAATTTTAAAATAATTTTATAATTTTAAAATTTTACTTAAAAAAAATTCTAAAATGAAGCAAAGACTTATAATATATCCTTTAAGTTGTTTTTAATTCATTTTTTTATCATTTTGCTGCCATTTTGATTTTTTATCATTTTGATTAGATTTTAGTACATTGATTTATTTTATTATTGATTATTTATGATTTATTTAATTTTAAATTCAAATTTTTAGCGATTACGAAATCATTCGATGCATTGCTTTTGGTGAATAATGCTGGAACGCTTGGTGCAATAAATAAACCAGCAATTGATCTTGGTTGTCGAGAAATATGGCAAGAATATTTGCAAATTAATCTTATCTCGATGATTCAGCTCACTAATTTCGTTTTGAAGAAACTTCCTTTCGAAGTTTAATTTATATTTTAAAATTTTTATTATTTTTTTGAGATTATTTCAACTATCAAGTTCTTTGCCAAATTTTATTATTTTGTCTCTTTACTAAAGGACGAAAAATTTTCATTTGTTTAATTGAAAAAAAAAATATTGCAAATATTTTTAAAGGACGAAAAATTTTCATTTGTTTAATTGAAAAAAAAAATATTGCAAATATTTTGTGAAAAATATTTTAAATATTTTAAAAGATTTTTTTAAAAAATTATAAAATTTTAATTATTTATTTATTTTTATTTAATTAATTCAGAATTTTTATCACTTATAATTCAGTTTTTTTTTTTTTTTTTTAGATGATTCCTACACAATTTGTGATAAATATTACATCGTTGTGTTCAATTAAGGCTCTTCCATCTCTTTGCCAGGTTTGAATGCTTACTATTATATTTATCGCAAGAGTATTTTTTTAATGGAACAAAGAGTAAAATTTGTCCGAAAATCCGGGTGTTGCTGGCGATTCATCCGTACTTTTATCAACAAGGCACTCCTTGGCATGCGGACCGAGTCTAACCAGTAATCGTGAGGGCTCTTAAAAAAAATGTTTTCGATAGATATCCATTTATGCCAAATGTTTCAATCTCCCACGTAACTTTATTGTTAATTTTACGTCAAATTGGGTATATATTTTTTTCAGGCCTTTGTTCAGTTGCTTATAAAATTCCTAGCTGGTTCCATATTGTTAAAAAGAATCTTCTAGATTTATTAATCTTATACTTAAAACTTTCAAAAATAAATCGGATATTTTTTATCGAAATATTAAAAATATTTTTTTACTTATTGAAATATAGCACCTATAAAAATAGACTCATAATTTAATCCAGACATAATTCTTTATTAAGTTATTTAGTATTTTTTATGCATCATAAAATCCAACCTCCTTCAATTAAATTCAAATATGAATCAAAATTTTGTAATCTCTTGTCGACATGTTTGTATATCGTTAGCTCAATGGCATGGTACTTTTCCACCTGTCGGCATGTTTGTATATCGTTAGCTCAGTGGCATGGTACTTTTCCATCGAGAATTGAAGGTTTAGTTCGAGTTCAGCAAGCGAACCACGCTTGATGGGGCGACAGTTCTACAAAAGAAGCAAATCAGAGTAGAACGACTGAGTGGGTTGCTACATAGTTCGAAGAACTCTATGGCAATTTTTTTTAGTGGAATAAGCCAGCTGAACAAGTCTAACCAAAGTAATATTTAACTTAAATTTTCATATTAGAAGTAGTGAAGCTTTGTAAAATATTAAAATAATTCTTTCGGATCATTTTTTTAACCACTTTATATTTAGTTTTTTTTAGATATTTTAATTTTTGGAGTAATTGCCGTTTCATATTTTTCACGATTTTTTCCTATCTAGTTTTATAATGAAATTTACCTTTCTTCGACTTCATACAAAATCTCAACCTAAACTTATTTCTTCTTCTAACAGCTCTTACCATTACTGGTTAGGCTGGCTGCATTGGCTACAAGGGTAAGATGTTTCCAAGTTGCGCGATCTGATGACATATTCGACAGTAATAGAAGCCATTCCTTATTCCATCGTCTAAGTCCATATATTGCTGGCCCAATTTAAATCCACTGGATGTGTGGTTTGTATTTTTATTTTTACAACAATTGTCTTTTATTATTTTATTTAATGTTGCTAATGACTGTAGCAGTTGGCTTTATAGGTTTATTGGTTTATTGACCTCAATAATTAAATAAATTTTAATGAAGTTTTAATAAATATTTACGAGTTTTTTAATTCCTTTTTTTAGTTGAACAGTTATAAAATAATTTCAAATTAATTTTGTTCTTTGTCTAATTTCTAATTTTTAGTGCTTATTCCTCCTTGTTCTCGATTGTTTTCGCCTATAGGGCACATAGTACTTTTTATCTTTTCATTATTTCCAAATTTTTTTTATTTATTTTCATTTTTCTAGTATTGTGTTGGTAAAGCTGGACGCGAAGCATTTTTCCGTTCATTGGCTGCAGAAAATCCATCTCTTCGTATTTTAAGTTATTCGCCGGGTCCAGTACGAACAGATATGTACAATGAACTTAGTACGGGGTAAGTATTTAATGAATTTTTATTCTTTATTTATTTTATCATTGAATATTTTATCATTTGATTACAAAGGATTTTTTATTTTTTTTAATATTTACATAATAATAATTAAATTAATATTTTAATATTTTAATTAATATTTTAATTTTATATTTTTCCAGGACTTATGACGAAAATATGCGCAAATATTGCAAGAGATTTAATGAATCGGATAAAAAAGAAGTTCGTTTATATTTGACTTTTCAAATTAAATTATCATATTTAATCGCTAAGATTTATAAGATTCATAATATTTTGTAGTTTATTTTGTTTTTAAATTGCGTTTATTTTAAAAGATTTAAATATTTTCAGGAGGATATTTCAAATCGAAAAAGAATACTCACGGCGCCAGAAACTGTAGAAAAATTGCTATCAATAATAAATCGTAATGAATTTATTAGTGGAACACGCATCGATTTCTTTGATTAATATAATTAATATAATAATAATAATTAAACTTTTATAATAATTATAATATTATAATGAAAACTGAAATAAAAATTTTTTAATTAAATATTTCTCATTGATGAAAAAATTTTAAATAAATTGGCCAAGAAATTCATTAAACGAATCACTGAAGGAGATTATTATTATTATTATTATTGTATATATTTGTACTTATAAAGGAAGGGAACTTGCTCGCCTTCGACTGAATAAATTTTACTAAAGGAATATTGCAATTCTATTTGGTCTTCTTCGAGAAACTGATATAGATTTGATGATGAAAAATGCGATAGGAGTGATATTCTTGAATAAAAATGATAAAAATGATAAAATTGCTAATTTTTCTTCGCATTAAATTCTTAAATGCTTTTATTTTCGCAAAAATTCCTTTTTTTAAACAATTAAGTGATTTTATTGATAAAATTATCAAGAAAAAGGTTTAAATGAAGATTTCATTATCATTGAAATCGCATCTAAAGACGTTGATAAATTATGTAGAATAGGTGATAAAAAATTTCTGGAATTTATTCATTCATACGTTTAAAAATTGATAAAATTATCAAGAAAAAAATTTACTAATGATTTCATTGTTTTTCTTCCTGGAAAGATATTTTCTGTTTAAAAATTTACCGAATTACACAAATACCGAATTTTATGAAACCTAGGAAATTTTTTAGTTTCCTAATATATTTATTCTTCTTTTGGCAAAAAATTTTTAATGCCAAAGAGGAACGAATTTAATCGAATATTACGTGCTACCATTCCACCATAAACACCATTCCTCCACCATTCCTCCACCATTCATTAAATTAAATTCATTTATAAGATTTTTCACTTAAAGATTTATGCATTTTTTTTGTTGAATGATAATCAATTTTTTTTTTGCTTTTTTATTTCGATAAGATAACAATTAAAATTCCTTTTTTATTTATCAAGAACGAATTTTTCATTCATTTCTAATTTTCAATTCTACTAATCCGACAGTTTCTCGGCAGATTCAATGAAGTCTCAATGGATTCATAGGTGTTCCATATTTTTACTAAGGTTTTTTAGCTTTTTTCTATTTTTCATTTAGTTGAGGCTGTTATTTATTTAGTATATAGTCATATCAATCATTTTTTTAAAAAAAATAACGGAAATTGTTTGAATATAGCAGAATTTGACGATTTAAGAATGGTACTAATAACTTTAAGCCAGATTTATATCATGCATAGCCTTCACATAAATGGTTATAAATAAGTATTAATCAGGCTTAGGCTTTAGGCTTTAGGCTTTTGATCTACTATAATATAATTTGTGTTTTCTATATATTTCTATGTATACGCAATTTAAAAGAATACTTTTATAATAATTTTCATACTATAAAATAACCATTTATAAACAAAAAAAGTTAATTTTAACCAGGTTAATATCAAAAAATTTTCACTATTTATAGAAAATGCCGTGGATAAAAAAAAATCACTAAAAAATAATCACTAAATCATCTTTTTTTGTTTTCAAATAATATAATTTATAAAATTTTTGGGAATAACGTAAAAATTCTCAAAAAATTGGAAATACGGTGGAAAAGTTTGTGGAACTATTGTAATTTAACTTCATTTTGGCTCATGTATAGATTATTTGGTGCTAATTATCTATTTAGTCCATTCATATTAATCTACCTCTGATGGTACTCACCATTCTTCCTCTTCTAACAATACTTAATATAATTGAACAATGATGGTTGAATGCAATAGTTGTTTCGATTCCTTGTTCTTGTTTCATCCGGAAGTAAACCTGTTATAAATCCCTGTAATACAAAAAATGGGTATAGAATGGCTCAGTGGGTTGTTGCTCAATTGAGAACGCCGATGCTAAGGTTCGATTCCCTGCAGGAGTAAACCTGCACAAAAATTCGGGTGATGCTGGCGACTCACTTGTACTTCTATTACTAAGGGACTCCCTGGCACATTGCCCAATGCGACAAGCCAGTGGAGCGAGTTTAACCAGTAATGGTGAGGGCTCTTAAAAAAAAAAATTGCAAGAAGTACCATATTTCCACGAAATTTTTACGACAAAAAATCAAAAGAACTCAATCAATCAGTATTGGTAAATGTTGATAGAAAAGGTTGAAAGAAGATTTATCATTTTTATTATATTTTTATTTATCATTTTTGGCTAGCTTCATTAGGATTGAAATTTTATTTGCAAAGAATTATTTTGGAATGAAAATTTTACGGTTTACTGATATGTTTATCACCTGACTTTTGAGATAAAAAAAGAAATTCAGATGCACTTAATAATTTATTCAAAACAACACATCAGTCATCCATCGCTCTTTTGGAAACTTTTGGTGAAAAACTTGGTTTTGATGATAATTCTTGAAAATTATATAGATGATTGGCTCAATGGTTTGTTACTCAATTCATATGCCGAGGTTCAATTCCATGTAGAAGAAACCCTATCCAAAAATCCGGATGATGCTAGCGACTCACCCATATTTCTTCACCCATATTTCTATCGCCAAGAAGTTCAAACTGGTATATTTATCTAGCGTGACAAGCCAGCAGAGCTAGTCTAACCAATAATGATGAGGGTCTTAAAGAAAAGAAAAAAAAAAATCGTATAAGAATTATAGCAAATATGTTGAGGAAAAAAAAATATTAAAAGAAAATTATAACCAGAATATGATTTGGCTAAAAACTTTTAATTCTTCTCTTATACAACCATTATTTATGAAAAGATTTAATAATTTGAAGAATATGCCATAAGAGTTTCTAAATTCTATGGTACTTCTTCTATATTTTGCTAGTATTATATAATCTAAATTTTTTTCTATACTAATTGAAAGTGGTGTGTTATTGAAAGTGATGCGAATAAATTTCAACATTTTCGAAAGATATTTTAGAAAATTTAAAAATTAATGAAAAAAAAGCTCTAAAATAAGTAAAGTACCATTTCACCATTTCTAGCTAGGTTTTTATTCAATAGGCTATTATTACGATTAATAACTTCAAGAACTAGAAAGAAAAATTTTAAAAACACATTCGTTTCGATCACGCTACTAGCACTAGATTTATTATTTTTGATGAATAATGATTTGAAATTTGGCTCATTTTTATACCCTAAGGCAAAATTGTTATGTCACTGCAAAACGTGGTTCTAATTTTTTTCAAAGCTTATTTAAATATTGGCATTATGGCACGAATATGTTTTTTTTAAAATATTCCATTGGTATAATTTTTTATTCTATATTTTATTTTTTTTCTATTCATTTATATTTCATTTATATTTGAAAATAATCGTAAAATCGTCGATAAATTTTTAATGAAATTTTTCCAAATTCCTAATTTTATTCATTTCTTTTTCGATTAAAACCAGTATCTAAGTTCACTTTATTTTATTTAATTAGACCTGATATATTTAAAAGAAAATTTCCCATCGTTATCTTATAGTATTTTCATTTTATTTTATTATTATATTACAATATTTGTAAATTAGAATCACAAATTTGAAAACAACAACTATTCGATTTGCAGCCAATCCTCTCAATATTTCCGACGATGGTCCTTGGATGAGACTCTCTGAAAATTTATTTGCCTTACCTCATTTTCCAGGTCTTTAATAGAAGCCCCAAAGATTGACGGTGATCGATCATACCAGTTGAGTAATATACGCCTTTGAGAATTGAATAAAGTGTTAAAAAACTTATTTTCTGCTTGATTACATGAATTTTATAAAAAAACATACATTCAGCATGATGATTGAACAAAATTTAGTGGAAAAAACATGGAAAAAAATTTTTTTGCATGAATTTTTATATCAAAAAATAGTCATAGAATATTATATAATATGTAAAATAACGATGGATATGTTTAAATTATTCAGCAAATTATTTTCGAAATTTTATTATTAATGCAAATTTATTTTAGGAGTCTAATCAAGAATTCTATCGTAAATTAATAATAATAATTAATAATATATTTATTGAATTTTTATTTCAATTTATATTTTTGATAAAAATTTAGTAAAATTTGCGATTATTACATGAATGATGTCTCGTAAAAAGGAGCAACATTTCATAAAAAAAGGTTAATAATTTAGAGTTATTTTTAAAAGAAATATAGATCGAAAGCAAATAAATTGCTTCATATTAAATATTATTTTAAAAAAATATTTATTATAATAAATATTTAAAATAAAAATATTTATTATAATATTAATTATAATATTTATTATTTAAAAATAATTAATTTTCAAATTTGATTTTAAAAATTTGAAATAATATGAGAGCGCCCCGAATAACTTAGTGAGTTTTAGCTATAATTTCGAAGCGTTGACGTTGCAGTTCTATTTTCAGCAAAAGTTAACCTATTATTCCTAAAATATTGTAACTAAGAATTACTATTGGTTTATTGCCAGTAGCTATAGAATAGAATTACTATTGGCCTTCTTTATCACCAACGTGGCAGAAATTATCTGATAAGCTAACGTGCAGTGATCCTTATCAAAAATAGTGAGCGCTTCTAGAATTTCACTTTACTTTACTATATTATGTACTTTACTATGTGGGAAATTTATAACATATTGTGGAAGCAAATATATCATAAATTTCTATTATACTAAAACTGAAACTGAAAAGTAAGTTGGAGATTAATGCTTCACTCGCTACAAGTAAACCCGTGTTGATGAGAAATTTTTGCCGAGAAATTTTTTCTCATTTTTTCTCATTTTTTTTAGCGATCACTTTATTCCCGCTCACCGTACCATAATACAAATTGTAATGGTTCCACAGGACTGCAGACACTCTATTATTATTAAGGTGTTATGAAATAATTTTACATTGGTTGAAAAATTAGAAAATTTGGTAATTTCTAATTTTTAATGCTTACAAATATTTTTTTCATAGTGCCTTCATTGTTATATTTTATCAATATTTTGTCATTAATAAAAAACATTTTTTTGAGATTTGAATCTTTTCTCAACCGATCACCTTTTGCACCTTACGAATACTCAAAATTATTTGATTTGGTCACCAGCCAAATACAAATTTGGTACAAATCGTAAATCTATGGTTACTCGATCACCATCCACATTTATAAAAAGAGGTGAGGTGATTATCAATTATTATCATTTATTATCAGATATTTTCGCATTAATATTTCTTTATCAAATATTTTTTTGAAAAAAAAATGACAAATTTTAGATTCAAATAAAACTGATATTATTCGAAGTCGTTCACATTCAAATCATAATCGACATAATAATAATAATAATCAAATTAATTTTATAAATTCTCGAAATTCAATTAAGCAACTAAATTCAAAATTTCATCAACTAAACGAATCTTCTTTAAAATATTCCGATCAGCAAGAATTTGATAATTTTTTTGAATGGATCAATGAAGGGTGAATTATTTAAGTAATTTATCATTTTGCAATTTAAAATGATCGAATGATTTTAAATGAAATTTCTAAGTTTTTTTTTTTTTTAAGAACGAAAACTTTCATCATTCTTTGGCCTATCTATCTGCAGGAACAAAATAAATTTTGCCACACAACGACAGAAGTAGCGCAACTAAGCATCCGGTTGCCAGCAGCGTCCGGTTTTTTCAAAGATAGCTTTAGTTCTACAAAAAACTTAGAAAATTCTATATTAACCTGAAATAAGCTCCATTAACAATCCACTAAGCTATATTTTTTTTTTTTTTTTCATGATTTCATTTGATGTGAATCTTTTTTAATTCAGTTTATTTAACTTAACTCATTTTTTTATCCAAAAATTGGCCCTTTAATTTATTTGTCTTCGAAAAAGAATTTAAAAATTTATTTAAAAAATTATATTTCAGCGAAAAATCCAATAATGAAATTTCGGAAAATTCAATAATGGAAGATTTAATCGAACAAATTCGCTACATATTATTCGCTTGAATTGAAACGAAAACTAAAATATTTTATTAAAATTCAAAATGATATAAAAATATATTTCTGTATTTATATTATAATAATTTTTTATATAAAAATATGAAGAAGAAGAAAAAATTCATTTTTAAATGAATAATAATTTTTAAAATTTATTAGAATTTTGAAATTCTTTTTTTAAAATTAAACGAACGATGAATAAAACTGTTATAATTGATATTTTTTTTTTTTCATAATATTTTATCTTTAAATTTATTTACAAAATATTTATACAAATATTGAATACAATCATTTGGCAACGAATCGAATGGCCTGGAGAAAAATTCTTCGATTAAGCTAAACCAAGGCTGAAAAATGAAATACAACATCAACCATAAGAGCAATAAATTCAAAGTGCATGCTAATAAATAATTATATTTTTTTAATAATTACAATAGTAAAAAAAATTTTCTATTCATTTGGATTTGTAAATTAGTTTTTTCAATAATGAAAAGAATTTTTTATGGATTTTAGAAAATTTAATCGATTAAGTGAAAAATTTCAAAAAAATATTTAAAGTTTGAAATTTTTAAAATACCAAACTTAAATAAACTTAAATAAATGAATCAACGAAACAATTTTTGTGATAAATATAAATGAATTTTTGCAAAAGAAACTGTGAAAGAAAAGAAAAAGTGAAAAAAATTTCAAATATTTTAAAATATTTAAATGAATTGAATAAATAATAAGTAACAAATTAAATAAATCAAAATATTAAAAATATGGAAAATCTATTTTGTTGAAATTTTTATATTAAAAATATTAATAAAAATTAATTGAAAAGTATTTTTAAAAATATATTTAAAAATATGTGAAATATCTAAAATATTTATTTTCGAGTGAATTTTTTATAATAATAAAAATACAAAAAAAGAAAAATGAAAGAATCCAATGCTTTTTTTTTCCCTCAAAATTCGATTTATTTTTAAAGATTTTTTCGATTTTCTTCTAATCATTATATTATTGTTGTATCATTGGAAAATTGCCTCGAGGTCAAACGACGATTCAAAAGAATTGAAAGAAAAAAAAGAAAATTTTGATTGCAAAAATTTTCTTAAAATTTTTAACAGATTAACATCGTTACGTTTAACGGTTACAACAACAAAATTTAACTCGAACTGGTTCTTAATTAAAAGATTTACGCGAAATTACCTTGTGTAAAAAAAAAAGAAATTTCACCTCTCCCCCTCTCCCCCCCCTCCCTCTTCCTTGGTTGGTAGTACGGGGTCATCGGTCATTGTCAACCACGGTTTTTCTATTAGAGATATCTAGAAGCTTGTCGAAATTTCTTTGCAGTATCTTAACTAGTGCGCTTTTCCGAGTAGAGTTCTCTGAAATTCTTCCCTGAAAATTGTTGGTTGACTCTCTTTCTACTAATATTTGCGTTAATTTTTCATTATATATATATATATATATACATATACGTATAGGATAAGCGAAGAGTGCAACGACGAGTTCCAAAAAATAATAATCGCGTCTCAGTAGCGAAGCCATTTTTTTTTTTTTTGTCATCAAATTTATATAATAGAAATTTTTATTTTTGTCGAACTATTCTTCTTTCAAATATTTTCATTCATTTTCGGCAAAAATTTTTTTCTATACGAAATATCAATGAAAATAAATATATTGCATACACGAACGAACGACTATCATTATCATCGTCACAACCATCAATGCACCACCGGTTTTCCAATGTACGCATTTTTGCTATACGCCAATTGTTCGTTGAAAATCGACAATTCATATACTTTCTACTGTATAAAAATGCAGAAATTTTCTATAATCTTATTCATTTCTCATATTTGCTTCGTCTCTTCACGACATTTTCTTATCATTTTATAAAAATTAGTAATATTTGTTAAATTTTAATAATTTTCTAAAAACAATAGTAAGTTCGATTAAGTGATAAAGTAAGTGATAAGATGAGCAATAAATTCTCTAGTAGAATTAATTGTTAATTTTACTAAAATTAAAGAATTTTCAGCCAACTAGGAGAATTATTTAATTCATTTCGACTATAGCTTCATTTCTCGTATATTACTATATTTATTATGATAAGTTCCATTTAATAGGGTTTAATTAAAACATGGAAGCATGGAAAATTTTGGTTTAGTTAACTAATTAGCTGTTAAATAATTTTTAGCCAATAATTGACTTCATATAGTATTAGACCATACAATTAAAAAATGATTTTGTGATAAATGATAAGCCATATTTGGATTAAGATTTGAATGAAATCGCCCTTTCATATTTTTTCATATTTTTTAAGTAAATATAAATAAAAATTTTATATTTACTAAAATATTATATTTATAAGTTTTAAATAAAAATTTTTATTTTATTTTTTAAATAAAAAGTGAATATTATTTGCGAATAATAACGGAAGATTATAAAATTTAATTAATTAATTAAATTCATAAATTTAGAGGGGTCGCAAATGAGCATTAAAGCTGCAGTTGGCCTAGCAACGGCCACATGTGCTTGCTTCGTCGTTATTTCACTTGTAGCTGTATGTGTCATCTTCAACGATATAAATAATCTCTATGATAATGTAATGGATGAAATGGGAGAATTCAAGGTTTCATTTAAATTTCAGGCTTGAAGATTGGTTATAGCGCTCATCATTAGGTTAGCTTCATGGACTTTTGGCTACAGCTAGAAATTTTTAACGGAGCGCCTAAGATAGAATAGAAATATAAATGGGTCAAAGTGAGTATCGTTGCCCAAATTAAATATTAAATTATTAAAAGAAATCGCGCAAAGAAATTTGAAAATGTAAAGCTTTATTTCCATCAATTTTAATTTAGTATTGTCCTATAAGGAAGCGAAATTTATAATTTAGATGGTCGTCGATGACACTTGGGAGAAGATTGTTATGTTGCATATGGAGCCAACAGGAGGTATCCAGAAACGAGAGACTTTTGCCAGTTTCTTCGGAAGACTAAAACGGCAGGTCTTCCCCGAACATTGCAGTGCGTAACATTATTTTTCGCAAAGATCTATTCATTTATTTACAATATCGCAAAAGAAATGAGAAACTTTTTCAGTGTGTGTGGCGCCACCAAATCTATGTCCGAAAGGTCCTCCTGGACCACAAGGTGATCCGGGTGAACCAGGAAGAGATGGATCTCCCGGAGATGACGGAAGGGCTGGTGTTAATGGGGTTGCATTATTGGCTACTTATCACATACCAGGTGGTTGTATAGAATGCCCAAGTGGGCCTCCTGGACCTCCAGGTCCTCCAGGGCCAGAAGGAGATTATGGTAGAACTGGACGCCAAGGTCCTAGGGGACAACCTGGCAAAAATGGAGCACCGGGACTGATCGGTCCCATGGGAGAACCAGGCCAACAAGGACTTCAAGGGCGACCTGGCCAACCAGGTCCTCCAGGAAAAGATGGTCAACGTGGCCACGGACATCCTGGACCCAAAGGACAGCCCGGACCTCGTGGACCACCAGGCGCACCAGGAACTGATGGAGCAAAAGGCGAAGACGGACCACCAGGTGAACAAGGTCCCGAAGGCCGCCCAGGAAGAGATGGTCGACCAGGAAAAGATGGACGTCCTGGACAGGTAATTTAATTAAAATTTTTTCTTCCACTTAGAACTTATAATTTAATAAGGATCTCTTAATAAAATTAGCTAATTCTTATTAGCTAATTTTTTTTTTTTTTCTAATGAAATTTTTAGGTTCTAAAAATGTATTCTACATGAAATAAGAAGTTTTGAAAGTTTTATGTGCGAACTATCAACAAATATGTGCTAAAAATTATAATTCTCATAGTATTTCAGCAAGGTGCAACCGGTGTGCCAGGTCCAGATGCTCATTATTGTCCTTGTCCAGATCGAAGCACTGCATATGTCAAACAAACGAAACATAAGCAGAAAAAACATTAACATTAAGCTAACTAACTGATTTCTCCCAAAAAAAAATTTTTTATTATGATAAAAAAAAAACAATAATTAAATTTGGAAGAAATTTAATTGTTCGAATAAAATGTTTATTGTAATTCTCGGATCGTTTCATACAATAAATTAAAATAAAGTAAGATAAGTAAAATAAAATATTTTATATTTTTAATCATTCAATATATATATATATATATATATATGATTTAATAAAATTAAAATAATTTTTTCTTACATTTTATTTCATTGGATAAATAAATAAGTAATAAAATAAATAAATAAATAAATAAGCGATTGAAACTAATATCTTCGCAATAAATGCAAAAAATGAGAGATAAAAAATTCGAAAATTCGAAAAATTAAATTTTATAAAATATAAAATTACCTTATTTAATGAAAAATTTATTTTTATATTTAATATTTTTAATTACTTGCATCAAATTTAATTTAAAAAAAGCTATTCATTGAAAAATCATTTATTATGATTTAAAAATTTTTATTTTATAATTTTAATGATTTTTTTAAAAATAAAATAATTTTTTATTATTCATTTCGGCGAGAATTTAAAAAAATGAATAAATAATCTAAATTTTTCATTTAAAAAAAGAAACTAAAAATTCGATAAGGAATTTTCACATTAATTATCATTCGAAAAAAAAGATTGAAAATGAAAAAAGAAAAAAATTTCAAAACTTGTATTTCAACATTTTATTGAAATTTTTTAAAGAAACGATACTTTAAACTAAATGAAAATACTTTTTTTTTTCTGCATTTTGATTTATTAGTAAACGAATTTTTTCAATTTTTTTTTTCGATATTGGAACGACCTGTTTGCCAATTTCGCCTAAAGCAATGAATCATTTGCAAAAAATTCTAATCGCACCGTAACCCATAATAATTATTGAAGCCAAAAATGGAAAGCGAAACGCTTATAATTCATTCGATTTTCGACTTAGTTTCTTTTAAGAAATTCAAAAAATTTTGAATAAAATAATAATTCTATTGAAAAAAAAACAATTATCACTAATTTTATCGAATTTCGAATTTTTTCTATTTAAAAAAAAAAAGAAATTTATTTTGTTAAATCTATTAAAATTATTTTAAAATCAGATAAATCTTTTAAAATTAATTTAAAATGTATTTTTTTAAAGATCGACTTTATTAAAAATTTTATTTATAACAAATTAATAAATCAAATATTTAATTAAAAATTCGCCTTTAAAATTATATTTATTAATATTCATAAATTAATTTATTAAACATTTATTAAAATATTTTTATAATTTATAAAAATAAAATATTTACTGATTATTTTCACTAATAATAATATGATAATATTTAATAATTATTTTCATTAATTAATGACAAAAATATTTGCATTATTTATCAAATATGCAAAGCAATAAATCAGCGAATTGCATTACAGTAAATTTTTTCATGAAACAATTTTTCGAGAAATTTTTTCATTTTATCAGTGATTTGCAAGAAAATTTATTGATAAATTACTTTTATTGATAAATTTTTTGTTGATAAATTACTTTTAATGAACGGCAAAAATTTTTAATAAATTTGTTAATTTCGATTAACAAAATTTCATTTTATATTTATTATAATAATAATTTTTAATATACAAATATAAAATTGAAGAATATTGAATACCTTTTTTCTTTTTCAGAAAAAATGGCTTTTATTTACTATCAGCGATGGTATCAGATTGCTTAGCTTAGAAACATCTCACCCTTGTCAGCTAGGCTAGCCTAAGCAATAATGGTTAGAAGACGGTGATTAACACTATTTTATAGAAATTATATTAGCGTGCTATGTGAATGTGCCCAGCAGAAAAATTCATCTATATCTTCCGAAATTTGCCTCTCTTAACACTCTATAAATTTGAAGAATCGTTGGTACCTGGTACCATTTTCACTAAATTTTTTTAAATTTTTAAAAATCCTCCATACAATCTACGATTGTTTCAGCAAAACCTGTTATAATCCTTCATACAGCACAAATTGCCTTAATCCACTTTAACATTTCATCAAAAAATTCTTCAAAAATATAAATGCCGAAATCCGATCCAATACATTTGTAAATTTTTAGCTAGGCTATGTCAGCTTATAATTCCATCAGACTCTACAACGAGAATTCGCATAGGTATCCGTAGAGGTTTCTGGATTCAAAAAAGTCTGGAAAAATTCCATAATCTCATATCTCAAATCTCAATTAATGAGGAAAAAAAGGAATTTCTGTTATATTTAATGAATTCTCAGCCAAATATATAAAAAATTTAAAAAATTTCTTGAATTTTTTGGTTAGCCGCAAAGTTTTCCATCTTAGTTTGCATAATAAATTCTACCTGCTTTATTCGCTTCTCGCGAAACTCGACTCGATTTTTACTTTTATCATTCTCTTATCACTTGGTATTTGTTATATTCACTCAGTTATACTCAATTTGCTACAGATAAAGATATACTTGCCGAAACCATTTTTACTAGAACCTCAATAATTCATCAGACTCGGCTTCGACACTACACCATTTACAAAATGAGCTTACTAAAGATATTTGGTTTACCTTTTATTTTCCGGTCTATTTTAAATAAAGCAATTTTTTTAGGGAACATAAATTATTTGAAAAAATATTTTTAATCCCTTTATCTGATCATAATTTTTGTCATTCCTAATCACTCTTCGATAAAAATTAAGTTGAATGAAGATGATCATAGAGCTGAGCAAGTCTGCGAAGAGAACCAAAGGAATTTTTTTGCCTGATGTATCTTTTCATTCGAATCGAATTCGAATATTTTCTAAAAATCCCTTCTTCTTCTTTTTCTTCTAACAACTCTTACCATTACTGGTTAGGCTGGTTCCAACGGCTACAAGACGGTTCCAAGCGGCGCGGTCTGATAATATCGTCGACAGTAATGGAAGCCATTCCTTTTTCCGTCGTCTAAGTCCATATATTGCTGTCCACCTATACGTTCAAAAGCTTTTCTGACCGTATCAGTCCAGCTTTTGATTGGCCCACCTGACGCCAACTATCATAGGGCTTAGCAAATAACGAAATATGTGTCAACTCCTGAGGTGTACGGGAGAAATGTGCCCCAACCAACGAAAGCGACGCTCTGTGATAACATTATTTATGCAAGTGGTATATAAACAAAGATGGATGCGATAGATGATATTTTATCCGCTCGACAGATCCGTAATATGTACCTTAGACAAAAGTGGTTAAAGATATATCTTCTTGATATCCTCCACTCTCATTGGTCATATCTCAGAACCATATAGTAAGATCGAACGGATCACGGCAATATAGATGCGGACTTTCATTTTTATGGCGATTTCACGATGGTTCCATAAAAGTTTCATCAACCGGAAGAACGCATTTCTAGCTGTCGTGATCCGAGTTATAATATCATCTTTTGCCTGTCCATTTGGTATTAGAGTGGACCTAAGGTATTTGAAATCAGGCACTTCCTCAACCGGCAAAAATCAAATCCCTAAATCCCTAATACTTATGAATTCTCGTTTAGTGCTTATGGATTTGCTGTTGTACTCTTATTATTCTCTTATCACTTGGTATTTGTTATGTTCTGCGCAAAACCACACCACGTATTCTTGCTTAAATCTTGAACTCCTTAAATATTGCTTGCTATTTTTGGTATATGTAGCATAATTTTAAACCCAATTTTACTGCTTTCTCATTCTCTCAATTAACGGTTAATACCATGCAGACGTGTTTTGTCGATTTTGAAGCTTCGTTGAATTCCACAGTGTCTTTTAACATGATCGAAAATGTGGTTTATAAAACGGATACAATTCTAACGAAATGTATAGAGGGAAATTTGAGGAATTTAATTAAATTATAAGAGTATGGCAATTATTAAAGCAATGCACCAAAGCACCAAGGTTAATAGTCTCGATTAGAAAAAAAAATCAAGCGCAATACTAAAATTTGAAAGCAATCCTCTCCGATCCATAGGATAGGATAGGTTTTTTGAAACGCTTAAACAATTATCATCAAGAATTTCTTTATTATTTATTTATTTTTTATTATTTATTAATTTCGAATACAAAACATAACTGCTGATAAAAAAATTGTGGAAAAAATAAATAAGGATGGTAGATGGCCAATACCAGCAAATGTGCATCGTTCCAAGCAATAGTTTAATTCTTCTGATTTGATGCCAACATTTATCTAAATTTAGCAATTATTTTGAGAAATTTTTCTAAACTGAATTTAACAACTGAAATTTCTAAATTTTTTAATATTCAGGATGCTCAATAAAGGGAATTGGGTGATTCTTAATTTGAAGAATTGATAGGAGACAAGTCAAATAATTCTTATATATATATATATATATATATTTTAAAAATTCATATTATGGTAAAAACATGGAAATTGTAATAGGAGGGAGGAGGATGGTGGGTACTGCAAGAAACAGGTTGGAAACCCTCAGCTTATCTAAGTCAATTCTTTAGATATCGCTTATTTTTAATATTTTTAATATTTAATATTATTTTTAATATTTTTTAATATTTATTAAAGATCCTTAATCTTTAATATTTTAATTTTTTTCACACAAAAAAGAAAGGATTACTTTGCCGATTGACTTGTCGGAACATCCAATTTTTTGTTGGAAATCCTATAAATTTTCTATTTAATTCACCAATTTTTAAAATATTTTTAAATATTTTAAATAATAAATAATAATAAGAAATAAAAATTCCAATACTATTATTCACTTTGTTATTTTATTTATATTTTATTTTTATTTATAAAAATACCAAAAAACAAAAAAAATTTTTTTTTTTTTTTTAGCAAATTCATCTTCGTATAGAATGGCTTAGTTGGCTCTCATTTCAATACGCAAAACAGAAGTTCTCCGGTAGAGACATATTTCAAGAATTCGGATAATACAAGCGACCCACTCGTATTTCTGTCATCAAAAACTTATTTATTTGAATAGACAAGCCAGCCACGTAAGCCAGAATGACGAGTCGAAAAATTTAGCCAGAAATGGTTAGTGTGAAATATAAAATTTTAAAATTAAAATTATTAAATAAAATTATTAAAATTTAAAATTTTTAAAATTAAAATTATTAAAATTATAATTATTAAAATTGATTATTAAAATTTTTTTAATATATATCTTTTATCCAAAATAATCGCGAAGCAAAAATCACATGGAAATCTTTTTGCCAAGTTTGCGGCTCAATAAAGCCAATTGCTGTATCGTTATTGGGCACTGGTGCACATTTTGCCCGATATTCATTTCCTAGCCATAAACAGCCAATTGACCAATCTTTACTTTCTGATTTCAACATAAAAATCGAACTCTGATAATCATAACAAAGCATTTCGCGTTGCTTTAGTAAATTAGGATATTTTAATGTTCTAAAAATTAAAAATTAGAAGAATAGGCCAAAACTAGTAGTAGAATTTAGTTCATTAAAGAATTTATAGGCCTAAATGCAATTCATAAAAGAATAGGCCTAAACCAGATGAAAATAATTTTAAAAAAAAAAAAAGCCTAAATCAGTTGAAAGCAAATTTGCTTTTTGCAAATGCCTAGCTAAATCTAAACAAACCTTATTAATATAAATTAAATATATTTAATAAATATACAAATATTTAAAGAAATACAAAAATTGGTCATTTATAGTTCGATTATTTTCGTGCAGTTGTAAAATTTTTGCTAAAATTTCATAGGTTTGATATTTCTGACGCCAAACGAATTGATCTCTTTGTGAACAAAACAATTTTTGAGAACAAAAAATTCGATTAGATTTCTCTAAATATAAAAAATATATATAAATATAAATATAAAAAAATAAATATAATATTTTAAATAAAAAAAATTTTTTCAATTTTTTATATTTATTATTATTTTTATATTTATTATTATATAATATAAAAATAATATTTATTATTTTTTGTATTTTCAAAGAGAAGAATTCATTATTTCTGGTTTGACTCGTTCCGCTATTTCCTCGAACCAAACAAACTTTACTAAGAAATCACTTGGTGATAAAATTTTAGATGTTTTAAAGAGAACAGAACGGAATATCAGTAACTAGGAAATATTTATCAATCAGCTAAACCATTCCTACCAAAATATTTATAATTATCATATCTTAACCTAGTGAAATGAAGTTTTATGTTGTATAAGCCCAAAGGGAAATGATAATTTTCTCATTTTATTGATAATTTTAGTGATAAAAATTCAATGAAGGAATACTTTCATAAATGATTGATGCAAGAAAATGTTGAGCAATTTTAATTTTCAATAATTTTTAGTATTTCTATTAATTAATAAATGACATTTATTAAATAAAAAATTATTAATTTAAAAAGATACCAATATTTTTAAAATCATTGAAGAAAATAAAACCAAAAATTATAAAAAATACTAAAAATACAACTGCTTGCATAAAAATTTTTTTCGAAAAAATAAAAATTTTCTTTCTTTAAAAAATAAAATTCTTTAAAAATATTGTAAAAAATTTTCCTTCATACTTTTTTCATTTCATTATTAATTCAAAATTAATCTTTAATTTATATTAAATAAAACTATTAAAATTAAAATTTATATTAAAATATAAATTAAGATTCATAAAAATGAATGAATAAAATATTTTAAGATTTTTAATGCAAAGATTTAGTAAATATAAAAAACCTAATAGCCGAAAGCCTTCGTAAAATTTTTCACCTAAAGACAAACAGTGGCTCAGTGGATTGTCGCACTTGTTTCGGAGAGCTGATGCTAGGATTCCATTTCTTTCTCGTAGAGGTAAAAATTTATTATTGAAAGAAAGGGAAATAGGGAAAAGTTGGCCACTCATTCGTACTTCTATTATCAAATTCTCTAGCGAAAATTTTCGTGATCTGATAAGCTGCCCTTCCGAGAACCATTGACTTGTGTTAATATTTGCTTAATCTAAACTATTTAATAATTATTAATTATTCAGATGCCAAATTTATAATCGATTTAACATCAAATAATTCATGCTGCTGGCAATTAAAGCTAACAATAAATATTAATAAATATTAATAAAAATACTTACTAATATTAATACTAATAAATATTAATAGAAATACTTATTAGTATTAATATTAATAAATAAATAAATATTACTAAAAAAAAGTTTAAAAAAAATTTTTTTTTTACTCAGAAAATCTTTACTGATAAAAATTTAATCCATAAATATAGATTATAGCCAAAAGGTTATTACAATAGGCTTAAAATTTTTTTATTCTCCTTCTAAATTTCAATATAATTGAATTAAATGGTCAAAAATTTAGATCTCGAAATTAAAATAATATAACTTAGTTTCACTAATAGAAATGCAAAATAAGACTACCAAGTCGTTTATCAACTCGCTTGAAATTCATTAAGGCTATCGAGGATTTTATTTTTTCTTATTTTAATAAAAATTTGTATTGTAATTTTTCTAATTATTGTAATTTATATTGTAATTATTGATATTGTGCAAAAATAAATTTGTCAATGTATTTTAAATATTCTAAATATATTCAAAATAAAATGTTTGCATTACCTATTAAGCAATTTAATAATGACTTTAGTTGATAACCAATAATAGTGAAGTTTATAAAGAAAACGAAAATTTTTTATAGGGTGATAAGATTCAATTATCTTAAGATATTAGTTTTTATTCATAAAAAGACAAAAACAAAAAGGCAATAAAATTTGGTGATTATTCACCAAATTATAATGATATGATATGATGGAAATTTTGCAGATTTCAACATAAAAATTTGGAAAGAACAAAATTAATTAGCAAAATGCAAAATAAATAATCAAAATGGCTTCACGAGATCAATAAATTATGAAAAACATTTTTTAAAACCACCAGAATAAATAAATTTGTATAAATAGAACAGAACAAAAAAATAATAATAGAACTAAGAGAATAACTAAAATTAAGAAAGAATTAAAACTGCAGAATACACTAATCCAATCCACTAATCCAACTAAACAAACGGAAAATGAAAAATGAACCTATTTATAGAATGAAAAATGCCTAAATTACCATTTGAATTGACCAAAATTTTACTTCCTAAAATTTGAATGGTACCAACCTTCTCATGAGGTGTTTATGACACAATGCATATCCAAAAACAAAACAGTGGGTCCGATCTACCAAAGGTATTGATTATATTCCCCGCTGGATAAAATCAAAAATAATAAATTTGAAATTAAAAACTTATGAACAAAAGCAGGACTTTAATTTTCAGCGACAGCTGAAGATTTACAATTGTTTTATTGTGATTCTTGCGATTTCTCTTGATTAATATCTTCTTCTATAATGGAATCTACAAATTGAATATCTTCCAGTATATCGAGCTCATTTAATAAATGCACGACTTGCTGTGGATTTTTCGCCCGCATACGTTTTTCATTGAATGGCGTCGGTTCATTTGGCCTTCTAAAAATTTTTTTCTTTTTTGGTTTAAATTTTGCGAAGTTTTTTTTTTTTGACTTTTCATTTAAACTACAGATATCATCATTATATCATAATTTTGATATTTGAGGACTAAATATGTCCTATAAATTCTCTTTTTAAATATTATAATATTTAATTATAATACTTGAGAATTATAATACGAATTATAATATGAGAATAGATACCTTCGAAGAGATTTTTTATTAACAGGATATGAACTACTTGCAGTACTATTTATATCCGTATTATGATATTCATGTTCAATTTGCTTTTTTTGCTCTTCACATTCTTGCAACATTGAGTCCATCAATTCAGCTAAACGATCCTGATATTCTTTTTCTGCTAATGCCATTTCACGTTCAAAATCACGCTCAATACGTTCTTTTTCAAGCTGAAACTGAATCGAATACGGAAAAATTGGTTTGAAAAAGCCTTTAAATTATATAAAACTATGGAAAATATTTTAAATTCGTAGACGATATTCTTAATAAAATTGCTTAATTCGTGACATGCATTTCTAGTCTGACTAACGAAATATTACAACGCTACCCTTTCTAGAGTGATAATGTGTGAGCTAGAGTGATAAATGACGATAGAGATGCCGATAATCTGCGACAGAGAGGCAGAAAATATCATTCGACCTAATTTATCATAATTTTTATAAAGAAATTTGATTATAAAGTACGGAATGCTAAAGAAATTTTGCAAATTTTGCAAAAAGGCATATATAAATCTATATAAATCCCTCTTTAAAAACCACAAAATGACAAAGAAGGAAGAAAAAAGGGGAGAAAAGGGGTAAAAATCCATTATAAAACTACACTTCTTTTTTTTGAAAGCGCACACTTTCTGGCTAGACTCGATTCGCTGGTTTGTCGATCCAGACAAGTTTTATCAAGTAATCGATAGAGATGAGTCGCCAGCATCACCTGGAAGACATTTTTGAAAAATAGAGATCTACTCCTGGGTGGAGTAGAACCCTACTAGCATTGACACTACAAAATAAGAGCAATAACCCTTAATGTTATTCTCCCTCTCGGTAAAACCAGATTAATAGATGAGGTAAACTAAAATAAGATAGACAAAATTTAACTGCAGAATGCAATAATTAAATATTTCCATAAAGATTTCCCAAATTTTAAAGATATTTTATATAAGAATAAAATTTTTAAAAATTTATAATATTTACCCTTTCAACAGTTTCCTCATATTCAAGTTTTTCTTTATATTCCGCTTCTAACCTCGAAATTTCTGCTAAATATTTTGGATGACGAAATTCACGAAGTGCTTTTCTTTCTTCCATGAAAGCATTCAATTTCTCTTTAATATATCTAAAATTTAAATATTGAAAATTACAATGATAAAATTATAAAAATGATTAAAATTAAATTTGTTAAATTTTTAAAATAAAAATTAGATGCAAAACAAAATAAAATTATAATTTATAATTTTATTAATATAATTTAACAAATTTTATTAATATAATTTAATATAATTTGATAATTTAATAAATAATGAATAATAATTTTAGAAAATAGATTAGATCAAAATTAGATTTATAATTTCTAAAATTAATCAAAATTATTAAAATAAAATTAGAAAAAAAATAAAAATTATAAGAAATATAAAAAACAATTATATAAGCAATTACAATTATTTTTATAAAAATACAAAATTATAAAAAATACAAAAAGCTTAATTATAAAAATGAAAAATAAAAATGAAAAAATGAAAAAATCTTTTAGGAACTAACATTTCAAAAAATAGTTCCTCACCGCCGTTGAGCTGTTCTTCCATTCGCAGATTTATTCTTCTTCTCTTCAAAGAAAAATTATTAGTAACGTAGAAGGGTACGGAATGACTCAGTAGATTGTTGCCCTTATTTTAGATTGTCAATGTTGGAGTTCAATTCCCAGCAAAAATAAACTTGTTTTTTAAAAATCCGGATAATGTTTAGCGACTCACATATAATTCTATCGCTAAACGACCTTTCTGGCAAGAAATTTTCTAGCTTGGCAAATAATTAAAACGAGCCTAAACGACAAATGATAAGCGCTCAGTCAGCAGCAGAACAGAAGAAAAGTCGAGGAACCCAGGAGATCGCCAATTATTTGCCATCTATGAGTTCAGAAATTGGAAGAAAACGTATTTTACAAGAGGGATATCATATACGGGGCCAACGAAATAATCGAAAAATCACCCTCAGTGGTTCCAACAATTTCTCAGAACTTCTTCATTCCTATCAGATAGTAATGATGCTCGGCACCGAATAACGAGACAAATCACCAAATAACCTCACCAAAAATGAAATAAAATCATTTTATTTGAAAAAGAAGGCAAAATTTAAAAATTTTACCGCTCTTCAAATCCTGGCCGAACCAAAGCTGCAATTTAAAAGCTTTAATTATCGATTTCGGATGTGATTTCGCAAGATAGGATTGTTTTTTCTTCTCTCTTCTAGAGTCCAGGCACCATTTATAGTTTGTATTGTTTCACTGTGTGGTAAGGGTGATGGATCTCTAAGCTTCTGGGTCGATTCTTATGTTAACGTCGAAATGTGTTTCACGACGTAAATCTGAAGTACCATATGCTAAGCAGAATTCCTTAAAATATTCCATATCAAAAATGCAGTCTTCGTCAGTTCCTTCACTTCATTTGAAACACACCTGGATTTGGGTTTTAAGGTCTTACTATAGGTGATGAAAAGTATGGATTGTTCCACTCACCACATGTTTTTGGTCAGCTTAAGTGGCTTCATCTATAATATTTGGATTTTTCTAAATTTTTCTGCACGAAATTATTTTTTTCCTTGGATCTTTTTAGATATGTTTATTCATACGCAGTGTTGGGAAGAATTTGCGGATATCGATTATATTAAAAAATGTATTAAAAATGGTCACTCCGTATTAATTATTATGCGTGGTGTTCCGGGAATTGGAAAAACACACCTCGCAAAGTTTGTTTTTACGATCAAATTTTTCGTAATTTTTGTTCCATGAAATTTTTAAATTTGTAAAATTCAAAATTTTTATTGATTTTAAATTTTAAGTCAAATTTAAGTTTAAATTTAAGTTAAATTCAAGTGAATTTCTTTTATTAAATATTTATTTGACGCGAGAAAATTTTCTCATCATTATTTTTATTATTTTTCATTTTTCTTTTCTTTATTCAAAAATTTTTCGTGAAAATTGAAAACATTTGTAGTTCATTTTTATTCTTTTTTTGCAATTTCGCTGTGAAAAAATTGAAAAATTCCGCATTTTTTTAAATTCGATTCTTAAGACATTTTTCTTTTTTTCAGTGAACTTATAAGTGGTACAAATGGAAAAATCTTTAGTACTGATTCGTATTTCGTTAATAATAATGGTGAATATGTTTTTAATGTTGAGAAACTTGAGGAATTTCATCAAAAAAATTTAAAAGAAGGTTTTTTATTTTTCCATTTTTTTAAATTATATTTTCATTAATCTAAAACCATTAATTAAGAAGTTATCTGCCTTTGACAACTCTTGTCTAAGGATCCGTCGAGCGGATAAAATATCACATCCATCTTCATTCAATTTGCATAAACAATGTTATCACAGAGCGTCGCCTTCGCTGGTTAGGGCACTTCTCGTCGTCCACCACAGGAGTTGACGCATATTTCGTTATTTAAATCATGTGATGGTTAGCGTTAAAAGCGAGGTGGGTCAATCAAGTCCTGGACTGATACGGTTAGAAAAGATTTTGAACACCTAGACAATGGAAAAAGGAATGGCTTCCATTACTGTAGGCGATGGCATCAGATCGCTCAGCTTGGAAGCGTCTTACCCTTGTAGCTGTTGGAGCCAGCCTAACCAGTAATTCTGAGAGCTGTTAGAAGAAGAAGAAGAAGAATCTAAAACCACTAATTTATTTTTGCTACTCTAACGTTTCTATTTTTAATATTTTTTTTATGGAGGGAGATAATATTTTTAATATTTATCGCGAAATTGTGAAAAAAACCAATTTTCAAATCAATTAATATTCACCATTTAGCAGATAAATTTTCTTGTTAAAACAGAGAAATGATAAAACAAATTTTCTTCTCTTTTTCTGTTGTTCCCGAATCTCTAAAAATCTGTAGAAGCCTCTTCTATTACTTAAGTGTATCATAATTTCTAGTGCTGCAGTTATCACTGGAATTACTTTGGCTTTCAATTTCCACTTCTTCCTTAGTTTCTTTTTCTTGCAATTCTTGTGAAGAGACCTCATCTTAGCAGCTAACAAAAAGAAGAAATTTATTCATCTAAATATCCAATGGGTGACATTGTTTCTATTTATTATTATGTTATCAATCAGTGTTCTCGTTCGGTTTCTATTTATTATTATGTTATCAATCAGTATTGATTCTTTTTCTTGCTCTTGTCTTTCTATGGTATCTGGTTGATTGGCCAGCACTTATTTGTTAGAATAAATATTGCAGAGGATCTCGGCATTCTGAATTTGTTGGAAATCTCCCATCTGGTCTTGAGAGTCACATATTGAACTGATAGTCCTGTAGATAGTACCAACTATTTTTTCATGCCTTTTAGTACGCTATTCCTGCTTGCAATTTTAATTCTGCCAAGAAATGTTGGACAATCTCAGATGTTTTTTTGCAGTCTACATAAACTTTGTTCTGTCTGATGTGATCTTTTCTTCTATGGATCTGATGTTTAGGAAACCTATTTTTGTGCTGCTATGATTTCACAGCAGTCTTTTAGTTTCAGCTTTTTCCAACCACTAGTAAGATTTTTAAATGTCACCTTAGCTATCTGTCGGTGTTATGGATGGTCCTGCTTTGCCATTGCACTTTGCCTTTTTTCTTTAATCATTGTTTTATATATATATAATTTCCTTCGAATATTGTAGGAAGCTAATCGGTCTTATTTTATTTCAGTGAAGACTGCAATTATGGCCGGTGTTAAACCAGTAATTGTTGACAATACGAATATTTATTATGCATATGTTAAGCCTTACGTTGTCCATGTAAGTAGTTTTTTATTTAAATTAGAGAATCTTTTCAGCAAAAAATTTTTTCAATAGTTAAACCATATTATTTCAAAACATTCAATTTTGGATTGATAGAAAAGGTGAAGGATTGAACGAAATTGAGAAAGTTTTGTTTCAGCATTATATTTCGCTTTAATTTATTATTTTCTAGCAATTTTTCTCCTTGGATTAGCAAATAATTTAAATACTTTTAAAATATTTTTGAGGCTATAAAATTTTGTTATGAAGTATACTTCGTGGAACCTCAGGCAAAATTAAAACCTTCAGAATATGCTAAGTAATTATTTACATATTTCATTCATTCATTAAATATTACTTATAACGTCTTGGCTTTCTTAATTTTTAATGATATTGGGAATAATTTAGTAACTTTTAACAGGCTTATCCTTATCTCTAAATAAATTTTTTCCAACTTTTTTTCGAAATAATTTTTTATTAAATTTATTTAAATTTCAAAACTTTTTTGACGAAAAAAACATTAAGCACTTGTTTTGCAAATAAACTTTTAATAATTTAGACGTAATATACATGGTGTTAGTGTTGAACGAATCAAACAAATGTTAGATGATTTTGAAAAAATTTCTCTGGAAAGTATGATCAAGCCAGTAAAACTGAAGTATAACGAATATTTTATATTTCTGCTTAATTTTAATTTTACAATTAGTTTTATTAATTTACCTGGTTCAAGTTAATAAAAACGTCTATTTCTCTTATATACGTTTATATTTTGAAACAATGTTTAAGATTCAAAGAGTTTCATAAAAAACTTTTAAACTTTTTTTTTGCAAATATTCTTGAAATTATAGGATAATGCCACCTTTGGATGATGATTTAGAAGTTGTTCCAGTTTTGCCTGCTGCTGTTCAAGGTTGAAATTGTTATCAAAATTAAAAGAATTGAAATTATTAGAAATGATTTTATTCGCGCCTTATCTAAGAAATTACATATCGTATAAATATCGTATCAATTTTATTTATTTATTTAAATTTTTTTCAGGTACTGCATTATTATCGCAGTCAAAAGGTTCACTTAATTTCTCTCAGCAAAATAATTTAACGGATAATGTCAACAGTTCTGGAAAAATTTCTTCGTATTCGTGGAATTTTGCTTCTTTGCTTTGTTCGGCAGAAGTAAAGGTTTTTTAGCCTTCAGATTTTTATTTATTTATTTATTTATTTATTGATAACCAGCCAAGCAGGGCGATAACGCCATATGCTTGTATTAATAACAATTAAGATAACAGAAAAAGAAAACAAAAAAAAATATAACATAAACAAAATTAATTATAAAACAATATGACAAAAATTAACAATTTAAAGAGGAAATTACAGATCAATATAATATAGTACATATATAACCTGAAGATAAAATCGAGATTTCTGACTTCCTGCAGTTCTTGCCTGGTGTAAATTCTTCTCTTTTTTTTTTGTTTTCAAATAATATCGTAAATGATATTATCTAGTCTTTTTTTAAAGACGGCTAAGGATGACGCACAAGCTATATCGTTCCGTAATTTGTTCCAGTAGTTAATAGTACGACGAATAAAGAAGTCATGAGTCCTTAGTTTAGTTTTGCATATAGGTTTTAGTAATTTTAAGCCATTAGTTCTTGTTGGATTCAAATTTAGTCTAAAGTTATAATATTTCGAGCAATCTAGTTTAACATAACCATACAGAATCTTATATGTATAAATTAAATCTTGTTTAATTCTACGAACTGAGAGAGAATCCATGTTATGTTGTAGAAGAAGTGTTCTTTTATAAGTAAAATTATAATTTTTATTAGGAGAGAGGCATCGTAGAAAATATTTTTGGACTCCTTCAATTATTTTACCTGTTTTGCGATGTCTAGGGGAGTAATATATAGTATTGTAGTCAAGAAGAGACCGAACGAATGCTTTGTATAATTTGATAAGAAAACTTTCAGTTTTGTTCTTAAACGAACGAAAAATAAAATTTAGTATCCTTGAGGATTTCTTTACTATGGTTCTGCAGTGAAGATCGAAATCGAGATTTTCATCCATGATTATTCGAAGATCGGAGATGTGTGAGACTCTATTAATTACCATTTATAAAAACGTTAGGAAGATCGAATCCTTTAGAGTTGATGTGAAGAACGCTACATTTTTAAAAGGAAAGGGTAATTTGCCTGTCATATAGCCAGTTAGCTATTTTGTTGAGGTCCTCCTGCAGTGGAGATAGGCTATCCGTTCTACCATGAGAATAATAAATTTTACAATCATCAGCATAAAGATAAATAGTAGAATTTATTACCACTGTGGTGATATCATTTATATATAATAGAAATAGCAATGGCGCAGTACAACTACCTTGGGGTGGATTTAACAGGTATCATGTCAGAAAGAGTGTTGTTAACATATACAGCCTGGTAACGATCTTTTATGTAATCTGAAACCCAGTTATAGAGGTCCCCTGTTATGCCATAACTATTAAGAGTGACCAATAATTTGCTATGGGAAATAGTATCAAAAGCCTTAGCCAAATCTAGATACACAACTGATACTATTTTTCCATTGTGAAGCGTCATAGGTGCTTCCTTTTTTATGAATGGGAACTATATGGGACAATTTCCAAATTTTGGAATTAAGGCCAGACTTCATAATATCTTTATAAATTAAAAATAGGGGAAGACTCAGAGAGACTGCGCATTTTTTATAAATTATTTGTGGAATGTTATCGGGACCAGTTGAAATGGACGGCTTAAGTCTATTTAAGGCATCATAAACATCCAGTAGTGTTATTTCAATCTCGCAGAGAGAAGTGCAACAAATTCGATTTACGTTAAAGCAGGAAGTATGAGTATTATTCTCAATAAATACACTAGAAAAATACTGATTAAATACATTTGCAATATCAATATCAGAGGTGATCACATTATCATTATGTTGCAGAATTAATTGCAATACATTGTCTGTAGTTAATAGTTTTTTCTTACCTTTTCGTTTGTAAAATGTTCGATTTTATTATTGATTATAAAAAATATATTTAATATTTTAATTATTTAACATAATCAGTATTTAATAATTCAATAATAATTCAATATTTAATTAATTTTCAGGTTTTTTTGTCCTTTATTTTGTTTATTATTTATTATTGTTTATATTATTCGTTTTTATTTTGTAAAAAGTACAAAAAACTGCTTTATATATTTTTTGTGTTTATATGACATCAATTTAGGCTGCAAGTCGTCCTACATTTGTTGACGCAGGATTTCAGACTAGTGATTTGATTCAACTGTTATTTATTAGTGAAAATATGCCTGAAGAATATGCTAATGAATTTTTATCAATATCTGAACCCTATTCTCTCAAAACATTCAGTTTTGAATTGGCAACAAAAATAAAGGATCGTTCGACTCAAACTGAGTAAGTTTTTCTTTTTTGTTTATTTTTCAGCTTTTATGTATTATTTATATATTTTCACTATATTTTATTGTATTATTTCTCAACATTTAAGGGGAAATTTTTGTGATGTTTTTTTTAGTGATTCCAACAAAACATCTGACTTAACCATTCTCTGTAGTATTTTTCCTGATGAAAATCCTTCGGATCTTCTGCATTTTCTGCAGTTGGCTGGTTTATATAAAACGGTATCAATTTTTCACGAGATGGGTGCTCATATAAATGTATTCGGTTTGGCCGAAGTATCTGTTTATTTCATATTTTTTTCATTTTTTCCCTTTCCTTTTCTTGCGTTTTGTTTTTTTCTCTCATTTCTTTCTTTTTTTATTACAGAATGAGCCATCGTATGAATGTTTGACTCTTTCTTCAACTGACCATCTACCAGAGATGTATTCATGGGATGATAAGGAAGAGGTTGAAAAGATTGAACCAAAATCTCAGGAAATCATTGAGGACCATTCATTTTTTGTCGAATTACCTCCATCCAGTTCAAAACAACGTTGCGATCCAGAACCCGTGGAACCGGGCTTCTATAGAATGGAATTGTCTGTCGATATGATTCAGAAATT